ATATAATGTGTGATTTTCCCCAAGCTGGTCAATGTTAGTTTCAGTGAAAAAGTAGAGGATGAAAATCAAACATTTCCATGGCTGGTTAAAAGAAATGCATTTAAATAACAGAACCAAAAACTTGAGAAGCTCAGAAGCAAGTTTTAGCAAGGTCTTTCTCCTTAATTAGCTTACAGAGCTTTGGCCTGTTCACAGACTTCATTAGGGAAGGCAAGGTGCTTTGAGTCTATAATGCTCAGACTCTTCAAACAATCAGCAGCTACAGGCTCCTCGTAAAGCCCATTGGAGGCAGCTGAAACTAAAATTACAGATGCCCTCAAAGAACGATGAGGCTAAAAGAAGATGGGGTTTTTAGGTATCTGTTTCATTGGTTTGTAATTCAGGCTGATTAAGAAACACCAACTAATAATACCATTGGAGCTCAGCTTTAGAACACCAAAAAGTAGTTTTGATAGAATTGCCTGTAGAATTACTGGAAAAACTAATTAAAGCAGCAGCTGACTGAAAAAGACTTTCAGTAAGATTTAGCAGGCTGGCAAGTCCTGGGGATTGTCTTACTAATCAAGGGGTTATGACCTCTGTGGAAGAAAAAAAAAATCAAAAACTTTCAACATTACCACCAAAAGGTCAGACTGGGCACCCCTGATAAATATGTATTTTTATATTTTTATGTTAATTGCAGTACCATGATATTTCACTGAGAAACAGAAAAATAAATATATATTCAGTTGGAGGAGCAAAATAAAAAATAAAATAAAAATAATCCTTTGGACATTGTTGATGCAAATTCCTCCATCCTTTCTTCTGACAGTTACAAGACTTGTTTTACAGATTACAGAAAACTGTGCCACTAATACTCCACCTTACTAAATAAAAGGTTCTCAAATTAAAGGTTGGGTTTAATTTTTAGTGCAAAATTTTGCTCCAACAAACATTTGTGGGGGGTTTTTATACATCTGTACCAGGGTGGACATAAATTTGCTTAAGCTTGCATTTTCAACTGAGGAACAGAAGAATGGAGACTTGCAAATTACTTCCAACAGCAAAGCAGCTGCTGTTGGAACAAACAGAAGCAAGAAAACATTGTTAGAATTGTTGAAGGTTAGCATAATCATGACTTCTGCTAGAAGACAATAAAGCTAAATTTACATTAAAAACCTATAGACAGGAAATGAAACAAGAGACAAGTTTACTCAAAGTGGCAGAAACAAGTGTGGATTCAATGTTTAATCTGATGTTGCAGAAGAACAGATTAAATTTAAAAGATGTTGCATCGAACATGTATGAATGCAAACAGTAGACAAAGTTGAGAAACTAAGTTTCAGCCAAAATCCTGATTTGTACCTGTGTTCATAACATGATGCATTATGATAAAAACTGCTTTGATCCTCAACTTTTAATCTTCTATTTTGCTATTCTGAAATAAAAGCAATATATCTAAGGAAAATTAAAATTTATTCGATTGCATAGGTCCATCCAATTCAAGACGAAGCACTTCATATGCAGAGTACGTAAAAAAAAAGGTCCTTCATATGTTTAGTCATGCCTGTGAGTTACTAATTAATTGTTTTGAGCAGATAATCTCTTCCTATGAAAAGTTACGTGGCATAATAAACAACTATTAATCCATGGCACTGCTGGCTTCTCGCGTTATGCAGATAAGTGAAGCAGCAGAAGATATGCAAAAAAGCCAAACAAAAGCAAAACCCTTTTGTCAAAATCGCACAGCAACCACATCAGCAACATGTTGAAAAACAAAAGGAAAATATAAGAAGAATGCTGCTAGTAGTTTCTTTTAAGGGAAAATGAGCTGATAAACTGACAATGCCAGTATGAGTAGAAATAAATGCAATAAAGAGATTTACTAAGCTGGGATTGAAAACTTTATTGAAGTAAAAATGTGAAGCAGAGAAAACCCACAATTATAGGGCTATACATTTACAGACATTGTATTTGACATGTAGGAGCTAAAATGTCCACTCAACCCTAGGCCTTGCAAAACTGACTTTGATGCTTGACTCATAAATGCCATGAGTTCATCCTGCAAGTAAGATAAAAGAAAAACTAATAATGTATGCAGTCCTAGGAAAACAATGCGATTTCACATTCAAGCACATTCTGATTTATCAGGACATAGACTTATTTATGACGTTTTAAAATGATTGAAAACAAACCTCAAAGGTAACATGAACAATAGATACAGATCCATCATCTTTCATACAGAGATAAAGGGAAAACCACACACCTGATGCTAAGCAGCAAAATGCTGGGTGATGATTGCCTCGGATCTTCAGGCCTGAAGCATGTCAGCACAATCAATGTTAGAGTGGAAAGACATCAGTAATAACTTTAAAATGCTTTTGATTATGTATAATCAATCTGAAAAGTGTTATAAGGTCACATTCAAATGATTAGTTTATTTTTTGCAGTGAGTGGAAAAATATCATCCATTTCCTCCCAGAAACAAATAGTTAATCAGCACAGCAGTGTTTCAGTGTGTACCATGACCTTTAAATAGATCCATTGAAGAGTTCTTCCTCATTCTGGTTTCTGTTGTAAACCACTCGCAAACTTAGATTGAGGTTGTGAGACAAAAAAATAAATAAATAAAAATATTGGATTGTGCATCAAGACCTGCTGTGTGAATGCAGCCTGATGTTCCTCAAAAGTGTGCTACAAAAATCCTATCAGTCATTAGATTTCCCCAAAGAATGGATGAAAGGAAACAGGAGATGTCCAAATAGGCCTCTCCAGTGTCGGGCCGTGCAATGTTCAGAGAAAGGGAACAAAACAAATAATTTAAATACCTTACTTTTAAATATAAATGTTTATGGTAATTCTGCTATATTAGAAATACATTTATAGCAAACAAACTGTGAAACAATTTGTAGAACTTAAAAAAATTTAACACTAAAAGGTATTTTACATTGCAGTTGATCTTTGATTTATCCAGCGTGCTTAAAATTTTTAGCGTGATGTTCTTTCTAGTTCTCATTTCGACTGCCTGTATGTTTTCGTGCATTGCCAAACGGCAACATGCCCAAAGCCACAAACAGACTGCAAACAATTGCCTTTTATGTCTAGTTTAACATGACTGATGAGATCGTTAAACAGAAAACTCCAGGAACAACGATCCTTTAGAGTAGCAACTAAATGTGCTCTTTTACAAGAAAATATCCATACTATATTTATTAAAATGCAACTGCCATTTGAATGTAATGTACTTATTTATTTTCATAGTTCTCCACCATTTCTGGAAGATTTTTAATGTTCATTGTTCTATTTGAAACAACTCAGATGTTTCTTGAAGCAAGTGAAACTACAGAAAAACGGTTTAATTTATCAATAAGAAATCAACTTTCAAAGAGATTACAACCAAGCTCTGGACCAATTTATCCACCAAAGAAAGCTCTAGGCCTAATTTCAGAACATCAAGAAAACATAAGTGAACAATTAATTGAAGCTGTAGCACAAAGCGGCAGAATGAGCGCAGTTAAAGATTTACCCCAACAGAAGTTAAGCAACGGCACATGTGGCCAGCTCACGTTCAGATGCTTCTGAAGCAGGAGGTAAACAAATTATTCAGTTATGTGCTGTCAATGATGAAGTGCATTAGAGCTGGAAGCTCAGTGGGAGGTCACACAGTAATGATTTAAAGATTGAAGACCGGACAGTGGTGATGCTTCGTTATCTGGAGTAAGAACTTCCTTTAACAAAACTGTGTCCAACAAAGGCTCCCTTCTATTTTAGTAACACACGAATCAAGTTTCTGAATTCAACCACTTTAAAACAAGTTAACATTTTAGATCAACAGCAAATGCATTAAATACTTGCTTTTACATCCATTACTATAGGCAGTTGTGTAAGTACTTCTGTTGAACAAAAAAAGAAAAGGAATCATTAAAATCTCAAAATAACTGATGTGAACTAACTGGAACTGAGCCGACACCATACAGGCACATCAGACAATCACACTCCAAATATTATCCATAAACTAATTTTTGTTTCCCCTAATCATAAAATTTATAAAAATTGCTCATCTTCTTGGTTTTCACAGACAGCAAGAATGCTTACATAATATCCAAGAGAAATTGGGAAACTATTTCACATCTTTTTTTTCATCCCTTCTCAGAGTGTATTGCAGCAATGTGATTTTTTTTCTGATTCAAGGCCAGATCTGCATCCTTCATGCTTGAGCAGCAGACAAGAGGACTGATTGCACTGCATTGCTCCTGCAATTCACAATGTTTAAGGGGGTCAGCAAGTCAAGGAAAGGAGCAGAATAAACTGGGTCTACTGCATGTTACAAGCACCTGGGTGTTGTCATTGACAAGTAGACATTCAAAGAAATTCAGATTGATGTGCGTCTTTGCTGATGCCAAAGTAGTACTTCCTCTGCAAATTAAGCCAATAAGGCAGATGTCAGAAAAGAAATTCCTTTCTGATAAAATCTGAAATGCCAAGTCAAAATTATACCAGGAGCTTGATTTCTACAAATGTGTGTTCAAAGCATGATTTCCTAAAATACAGTTAATATGAAATGTTAAAAGTTATATATTTATATGTTAATGCAAACATTTAATGTTTTGTATTAAGCAATAAATGTTTTCTATTAATTTAAATAAATATTAAAGTTAATATAACTACAAAATGGGTGTTTGTGCACATCTGACAACTGTATATAAAGAGTCTACTGTATCAGAGACGGGTTCTGTATCAGGAGTAGATTACAGATTTGTAATAGGGGACTGAAAAGGAAGCTTGAAAACAAAAAACCTTTGATAACCTGCTTCTGATAATATGCCAGATGTAGAGGCAAATCCTGATCGAGTAGATGGGGAGACATCTGAGAAAACAGACTCAATTTTCCTATTTTTCCAAATTAAAAGCTGAACTAAGAGCTTATTTCTGATACAAAAGTAAACAAAATAGAGCAGAAATGGGTTTAACTTTTATTTCAAATATTCAAAACTTTAATTTAAACAATGCAGTAGCAGAACATTAATCATTTCCTTTTTAGTAAAATACATTATATATATACATACCCATTACCTGTCAGATGTTTAATTCTCAAGAACAAAATATGAAACCTCAATTATCTAAAGCACAACTAAACCAAATACAGCAGTGAAGATTATAACAAAGAAATTCAGGTGTTTTAAAGATAAAATTCAGAGTGAAAAAGGCATGTGACAATGCGACAAAAATTAAAGCACAGTCATTTAATAGAGAAGTCACCCTTTATAGTGTCTGGTTAAAATGCACTTTTTGCCACTGTTCCCAGTGAGAGATTTCAGGCTGGGCTGTTCATTACAGACTGTTTAGTCCTTGATCAGACATTTGACAAGTGATTAATCAGGCAGGTGGCCTCTGTGGAGCAACTGAAAGTTAATTTCCACACTTCTGTGTGCGGAGATGAATTGAAAGGATGTTCAGACAGGGTATCTGGCTTCGTCATGCTTTCAGGGTGGCCTTTGGCCTTTACTTTGGCAACGATTACATCCACCATGACAGATCCGCTGCTCTCTTCATCATGCATCAGTACACAGCGCACATCTGAGCAACGACAAAGAGCTAAGACATCAAACTGAGAAAATATTGTTTTTGGAAACACAACATCCTCCCTTACCAGACCAAAATGGGTATCTGTGAGAAAGAACTGGGCAATTTGTTCACTATGAACGTGGCAACTCAGGTGCACAGCCACACTGGTGTACATCAATAGCTGCAACTCTCCAAGAGCGACTGTCGCTTGATTGATATTACGATGAATAAGATGAAGCAGATCAATAAGACTTTTCTGAAATCGACAGTAAAGCCTTAAACCAGAGTCCAGCTGCATGTCGGGCACATGGACCTTACAGTCTAGGGACAAATCCATCAAGTTATCATGCAGCAATTGGTACTGGTGGTCCCTGCTGTCCCCAGAACAGACAACACTTACTATGTTCCAGCACAGCTCTTTGGTTTGCTTCTGGTTGTGGGTATAAACACCCAGAATGCTTTCCTTTGTAGTGCCTATTAAACGTAAACTTTGGCCAGCAAAGCCTATCAGTACGTCCCTCAGCTGCAACAAAGGGAGGTGATGGAACAAGACCAGGGCCCCAGAGTTGGCAGTCAGTGTGTAGAGATCTGTTTTTGTAACAATCAAGAGGCCAGGCTGTGGATCAAGTTGACTACATTTGGCTACGTTCAACCAGTGAAGTGCTATGATCCTCTGGGAGGAAGGCACTGAACGAGAGACTGACTGTACAACACCCATCAGATCTCCCGGTGGCAGAGTCTGTAGCTTCAGAAGTGGATTAGGAAATGTTATCAATGTCTGAATGCAAACAACAGTTTCTGCCTGATCTACATCTTCAGTTGCTTGGATAACATCCATCTTGCAACCTTTGCCGTAAGACAGAGGGCTTCTTTTTTTTGGCATCAAAGGCTCTGAAATAACTTCATCTTGTTTTATTTGAGAATTATTCCCATCTTGCTTTTCTGGTGACCTCAAATCTCTCTTGCAGAAATCCTCAGACACTTCCAGCACATCACCTTCCAATTTTTCTGTCACGCTTTGTCTTAGTGTGAGGGTTGAGAGTTGTGTGGTGTTGGAATTATTGAAGTCCTGAATCATAAGAGCTGTCTCTTTGGGCTGAAGGGGCTGAGATGTATTCATTTGGGTGTGCTGTATGAGGGGCAGAGTTTTCACAGAGAAAATGGGACTCCTCCTGATAAGTGAAAAAGCAAAGCTCCCTCCGTTCATGAAGATATGGCTGCCCTTCACTTTAGACAGAACATGGCTAGACAAGCAGGTACTAATAGGTTGTAATTTTGCAGTTGTCAGCTGGTGCAAAAGTGCAGGAGACCTCCTAAGTAGACTGTGTGCATCATGGACCATACAGGACACTTTACTAAACAAAGAGCCCAGCCCTAATTTTCTAACTGGATTTTCTGCAAGTCCTTTGATTGCCTTCAAACTTCCAGTTTCGTCCATCTCACCACAACTGTGCTGGTTCTGGAAAGCAGCATCTTTGAGTGGACAGCAGGCCACCTGCCTACTAAGTGGTTTTCTGTTGAACTGAGAATAAGAGCTGGTCTGTGGGAGGACCAAAAAGGAGCTACTTCCTTCACTACTCTGCAGGTGGGACATGCTGCCTAATGAGTTCCCACCAGAGTTGGGTCTCCCCTTATAGCAGTCTGCGTCGACACCTTGGATCTCATTAGCATTCCCTTCTGGCTTCATGCCACATCCATCACCGGGGCCCAGGACACATGTCTGTTGGAGGCTGCCATCCCCTGATGAAACTTTCTCTGTCTCACAACTTGCAACACCAGCTCCACTCCGAGACATCCTCTGTGGGCTCTCAGACACAAGCCCTGGCCCTGATTTATGACACAAGTCCCTCTCCTGCTCCTGGCCATCCCAGATGCTTCCTTGACCCTGAAGTGCATCTCTGCCCGACTGGAAAACTGTTCGAGGGACGGGGTCTCTTTCAGGATTGGCCTAGTTTATGTAGTGAGGGGAGAGAAGAGAAATTAAACTCAGATACCAAAAACAAAAACCCTGATTTATGTAAATGATTACAAATTTCTGGCCCTGCTGAAAAGAAATCACTTTAATTCAGTTCACTTTGGAGGCTAACTTTTATTTATGCATTCAATTACATTTGGATGCACAAAGACAAAATGAGGGGAAATGAAGTGAGGAATTACACGGTGCATTTATAAAAACAAACACTTGTGCACTCACTGCTCTGTGCTTTCACAAACCATAATTTCCTTTAAAGCCCTACAGGAACATGTAGACGGTTCTGAATATGTGCATAACAAGCAATGGGAGAAAGTGCTTCATGGCTCATAAATCTGCATTGGGCCTCGATGGAGATGGGCAAACCTTTGAAACTCAGTTTTGCCAAGACAAATGAAACTGAATGGAGATTAACTTTTAGAGCCAATTCTTATACCTTTAATAACTAGGCATTGGCAGTACAAGTTTCTCAAAATACAATGAATGAGTAAACTGTATACTTTTACTCATATTTAACTGAAATCAAATTTTCTGTTTATTTTTTTTCTACCCATTATAAAGTTTTGTTGTAGTTTCTATGGTCTCGGTTGATCAGTACAATTTTGCTAATCTGCTCTTTATAAATGGACTGAACTTTTCCAGTCATTTTGACCATTCAAAATGGTTTACACTAGAGTCACATTCGCCCACTCACACAAATGCACACGCATTTATACGATACACAGATCGGTAGGCGATTTATATAGACCAACACAAGTACACAAAACTTATTAGGCACCAAGCTGATTTAACCATCTAAATATCTAGTGATTGAAATTAATTCAATCTGCAGTCTAGTCTAAGGTCCATTGCTGAAGGTTGTGAATTCAAATCATTATCCTTGGGCCAAATTAGCCTTCTAAAAAAAATGTCAGTTCCTCATTTAAAGGAAATCACAAAAATTTGCAATATTTAAAAAAATATATATAGAAAGGTCCAATTTTCACCCCATTGAGCATAAGGGGACATGACAAAATAAGTTACACTGTCTGACAGTATTGATGCAATTTATCATGGGGTTTTTATTGCAAAAGATAAAATTGTATGCACACAAACAGATCACTCAATCAAATATGAACAAGTGTATAGAAAATGCACTCGGCTCAAAAACTGCTGGAGTAAAAATATGGAGCCATTTTGAATTCGACTTAAGTACACAAAATTCAAAAACACCCATCCAGACAAGTTGTGCTCAGCAACATTGATATTTGTTTCATATTTGCCAGATGCTAGGTTCAGTTTGTCAATTTCAAGAACTTCATCTTAAATTTAGCAAATAGTGATGGATGGTGCTCTGTGTTTGATCTTTTACTTCCTCTGCCACTGTCCATGACACAAAGGGCTTTTTTTTTGCTCTTTGGGGGCCTAAACTTGCAGAACTAGTAATTATGAATCTGTGCAAATTTTTGTGGTTTTAAAGTGTGACTTTTTCATATTTCGCTATAACTTGAAACTGGTAACCAGCCCACACTAATTACTTCATGACAAGTCCTTAAAAAAACAATCTTCACTTAAAAATACATAAAGGGTGGATTTTCAGGTTAGTTTACTAGTTTTGAAAGCATGAGTTAAAACTTTGCTATACTTTGATAAGCCCATTCCTTAAATTAACTTTACCTTGAGTGCAGTTTGTTTAAAGTGCAAGAAAAAAAAATACCTACTGTAATTTGGATCTCTGTCGGAGTGGATCCAGGACTAATTTTCAGGTCTTCGGACTTGCTTTCGAGACCCAGCACATCCATCTGACTGCAGTCAAGAGTAAAATATGTTTTAGTCTTTCACAGGACTAAAAACTGTATTCTGATTAGACGAGAGAATTATACTTCTGAAGTCCTATTCTTATGTTGTGATGCTGTTTAAGAGCAAATTTAATTATTTAAAGTAGTGTTGACAGCAGAGACCCAGAACAGTTGGCAAAAGAAAGCACCAATAACCCTCATCACCACCACACAAACAAAAGAAATATTCATTAGATTTGAAAAGCAAACACCCCAAATGGCTGGATGAGATTAGAGACACTCTACTAGCTATGAAATTAAATAGAATCTGTGCATGATGATTTGAGGATTTACATACAATGCGCAGAACTCCAGAGGGAGGAACCAGGAACCAAGTATATAGCCCAGAATGATTTTTGACAGTGAACCACAGCTTTAGCAGGGCTTGGTGTATGTATCAGCAGATTGCCAAAGTGTGGAAGCAGAAGTGAAGCGTTGGCAGCATCAACAAGAGGGACACAGTTCACGTTCTTGTAACGATTAAAGGATTTTTGCAAATCCTAAGGATCAGCTCAGAGGATGTCCTATGTGCGTCGATGCTCGTCATCTCACAGCAAAAAAGCGATTTGTTTAGTTTTTTTAAATGTCCAAATTCTGAGGCAAAGGTTTGCAGTGTTGTCCTTCAGGTCCAACAGTGCAACAACTACTCATTCCCTGAGTATCACAGAATATTTTTTCCCCAGCTGGCTTCACTTTTATCTGGATGCTACAGTTGCATCTGGTTAGGCAGACATTGCTAAACAGTTTTTTTTCTCTTTTAGTCAGAAGCTCCCTTTCAAAATTCAGTGGGGTTGAAAAAGTTATATCTAGTGTATGCCTCTGTGTCTCATTTTATAAATTTCCATAATGGTTGATTCAAGAAGATGAGCTTACAGTCAACTCGAAAAAGGTGAAGGCCAAGCACAACCATTTAAAAACCTAAATCTCAAAAAGTCACAGCAGTGACATACAAGAACAGAATATGTAGAATGAACTTTCAGCTATGCTACAAAATTTCTCCTAGTCACCCTGAAAGTAATGCCAACTGTATTTAAAAGGACAAGCTATAGTTTGAGTTATCCAAAGGTTTTGCATTTGTTCTCACTTAGAAGGCTAATCAGCACCAGGCATTTCATTTGAGATATTTATCTGAATACAAAAATAAATACTGATCAGTGCATGCAATCCAGAAAGAATGCAAGACTGGAAATAGGCACTGTTACACATCCCTACCTAGCCTTTTATGTCATTCTTGGCACCAGGGTCAGTCTTACAGATGTATCGTTGTACATATATCTTGTACAAAGCAGCATTTGTAGTGTCCACTATCAGACAGTACAAATGGCTGTTTCCCTCAAACAAGTCTTGACTTACAAATTGAGGGATGGGCCAATCCCTCAATTTTGTGCACAGCAAGAGGACATTTCCAACTTTTTTGGCATAAAAAGAATTGTTCTAAAGATTGGCTTCACATTAGTTCAAATATTGCAGGAAATTGACACATTTTTGTACTTTGCCATCTGTCAAGGTGAATGTAAAGCCTTAATGTCAAAACTACATGCCAAACTTGAATCACATTAGCAGGACTCTGAATAATCTTTTCATACAAAATTTGTCCTTTGATTCAGGTGTGTCCATCAGATCAAAAAATTGCAGACCCTAGAGTTTAAAACTCCAGTTGTAAACATTCCTGAACATTGTGAAACCTCCAAGAGTCTATTATTCAACTAAGATTTCTGCATAAATCTGATAACCTGTTTCTTCTAGAACAAAGACTCTTCTGTTGTAATGTTTTACCCTTATACTGGACGAAGGTTTTTGCATCCTCCTACCAAGCAACCCACTGGTGTAACTTTGATTTAAATTGATTTTTGCGCAAATGTATTGTCTACATACTTTTTCCAAGTATGTAGACAATTTAAATTTGGGTCATTTGCAACATTTGGTCCTTTATTAGGCATCAACCAACAGGATGTCAATACATGTCTGGCAATTTCACCAATTCATTACAAAAGGAAAACCGCTACTTTACTAAACAGAATTTTGCTATAAACTGACTAAAAGAATTAAATTATATGAATTAATTATTTGTAGAGTTGCTTAAGGTCTTTAAGATTTTTGACCAAATACTTGAGGTTTTCATTATAACCATCACTCCTAAAAGCATAATAAGGTGTGTAAATCTGTGCTGAATTTCTGCTTACCAAAGTAAACCATATCTGGATATTCCCTTAAAGTGAAACATCATTATTGGTTCACAGCAGGTTGGACTTTAACAGTTACCTTCTTAATAACTTTCAACTCAGGGCTATCAGGAATTCAAGTGATGTGGTCAATACTCGTCAGGCTGCTTTTGTTGCAAAGGAGCACTTTCCTTGAGCGTCTGTGGGTCAGTTCATTGATATCTCGTGTCGCTCCCAGAGAGCAACACATCCACAGCCGGCGTTTGAATTTAAATTTGCTCTTACTGCTGAGGGTCATTTCCAAGATTATTGAGATCAATTCTGCCCTTGCTGCAAGGGAGTTTATGCCAAGTGAGGCAAGAAGTGGAACAAGAATAGAATATATATTTGAGCTCACGGGTCGTCTCGAGAGCCTAAATACATGTTGGAGGGTAGAGAAGGAAAAGTAAATAAATGCAATAGTTTAAAATTGAGTGTTGGATGTTCAGTACGAATTGACACCACCACTGGAATACTCCTGTCTTTAAGATTATATCATATTTTTCAAATTGAAAAGCTGAGCCAAAAGTGCTGATGCTGAGCTGTTAAACGTCCTCAATCTGCTTCAAGTAGGTTGACTTCCTTCATCAATATAAATACAATATTTATTGTAATACTTAAGTATGACTGAAGTATTAACACCCATTGAAATTTTTTTCCAGACATTGCCACTAACATATTAGAATTGGAGACTAATGCAAAGTTCAGCCCAAATTTGAAATTGGAGGAAGAACAGGCTCAACACATTACAATTTAATGTAAAAATAAATAAATGTTTTCAGCTACCTTTGATCTGATACCCTGAAATAAAATGAGGGTATTTCAGTCACTAGAACTGCAATGCAGGTAGATTTTTGCAGCTTTAAAACCACGTAAAGGTGGTTCTATAAAGTAATGACTCTTCAATATAAACAGAAATGGATTGAGATTTCTCGTCCGACCTCACTTCAATAACATGCAGCACGTTGTGCCGATCCAATGTATAAAATCCAAGTAAATTATATTGCCAAGATAAAAGCAGTTCAATAGGTATGAATACTTTTGGATCGCACTGGAACAGCCTTGAAGTAACCATGTGTAAATTAACCATTTCACATCTAAATCAAAGAGCAGTAGATCTCAGAGAGCTCCAGGTGTCACAGTGAAAGCTATATTAATCACACCAGCAGAAGGTTAACTTTTTTGGAGGGTTGCTGCAGTGTGAAGGAAATTACACGTCAAACTTCCCCACGTGCTGTAAAACATCAGGGCTAGCAGATCAAGAGAGACAAGGGGAGGTGTCTCAAATTGCTTGCTACCTCAGGCTGTGATGAATCACTGACGGGAGAATTGGATTGTGGACACTAATTCAGCGAACACTGAGACAGTGACAGATCAATGAACTGTCACACAATGCCAAGGCCGTGGCAGGGCATAAAGATGTCACAGAATGCCTCAGACTGTCTGGTATAGTGTGGAGAAATAACAGTCAACTCAAACTGATAAAATGAGCTTTTGACAGTTTTTGCGAAAGCTCAAGAGACAGTCTGGACGCTCAATTATTCTGATATTTTTAGAACTAAGAACTAATTATGTACAAAGATGACATTTTACAGCAAAAAGATATGCCAAATTCAAATTTGCATCTCCAGGTATTTGAACTTTGACACACTATTTCACAACTGCCATGATGAGACAAATTAATCACATTTAAAAGGTTTGGGTCACATTTTTACAGCACTTTTATCTGTCTCATTTTATTTTTGATTTAATTATTTTATTAGCAAAAACATAAACAGTAGAGAAGGAAATGTGAGAACAACCTTAAACATTAACCACAATCCGACATGATCAAAAGATTTAAAGTGATGAATGTCATTGTTGCAACCATAAAACTAGAGAAATGAGGTTTGTCGATTTATTCTGGGTCTAAGATGCTATCAAGAGTCAGGCAAAATGTGAAGTTAACACATTTAATGCAATTACAATGAAAGTTCATGAAAATCTGCAAACAGAATGACTGCTTTTAAAGGAATCAGTCCTTGAAAGCTTTCTTCAGTCAAATATAGTTACCACAAAGAAAATTCAAGAAAGTCGACTTCTTTCAAAGCATATCCAAATCAACAATTTCACATTTACAACTTCAATAACAACTCCAAAGGAAATTAACAAATGAGTTGCCACTACTGCAGAGCTTACTTGAAGATGGTGTACAAGGTATTTCTTAAGTCGTTGCAGGACAAAGGTCTTAGAATGCATGTCTGGTGTAAAGGAGGACAGAAAACCACTTCTGTTCTAGAACAGCATAGAAAACAATTACTTTCCGCAGAAAGCCCAAGAATTGGCAAGCCTCAGATTTTTTCTGAAGAAACCACTAGATCATTTGTGACACCTGGAGAAAAAAGGATGAACAGCATCCAAATCAATGCAAATGCAGGATGATTTGCATTAGTCTTGAAATATTAAGGTCTAAACTGTAAATAAGTATGCTTGATAAACTTCAGGCACTTCTGGTTTTACAAACAATATTGCACTTTAATTTACTATGCAACTTTCTGATATGCTTTTAAAGTAGTTTTAAAATGTCTTAAAACTTGTGGCCTCAGCTATAAACAATGACTGATGAAAGAAGTAATTTCACATTCAAAGCTGCAGTATGAAACTTTTATTAATGTTTTTATACAACTTAAAAATTCCCTCAGCCTTCTCCTTCCTCTCTGCAATGGAGCTTGCCGTGAATGCACAGACTAGTTAGCATGCCCACCAAGGAAAACCATGCTAATCTATGATCCAATTTTGGGTTTCTGTCAATGAATCAATCAATCCCACCCTTACCAAGCAATCCTAGAGAGTTAGCAGCTTATGTTATTAAAAAAAAAAAACTGACTCAGATCAGACTGTTCTGACCATCTAAAGTCCTCTCCAGATAGTCTGATTTGTTTCAGCTCCTTTACAGAACAGTTCACATGGCAAGCCTCACCAGTAGCAACCCATTAAACTATTCTACACAAAGTTCAGAGTGAAATTGTTAAATACTTTATTAATGGTGAAGTAAGGACCATTTCTAAGGCATTTTGGTAGGTCAGTTGTTTATCAACCATTTTACTGAAGGTCCTGTCAACTACGAGCAAGATTTTATAAATATAAATACTATATCTTGGGACCTTGTCAGAGATTTGAAAGAAGAGGTGATTATGGAAATGTCACATTTGGCTGTTCACTTTAAAAAAAAAAAAAAAAGTAAAGATTGGAACTTGGTTGATTCCCACTCAGCACAAAGCGCTGAACAAATACTTTTTGCATGTTCCCTCCACTTACAATAATACCGCCTTGATTTATAGCTTTGATTTGATCCACATACCTGATGAATGGTGCTATGTGAGTTGGTATTGTGCAGACTGAGGAAAGAGTGAGGAGGGTTTTACAAGATGCCAGAATACTGCATGTTTTACCCAGAGTTTTGCAGCTTCACTTCGGATAGAATCTCAGCAGATTTGGACAAGTCAGTCAAAGACCGGGAAGAGGAAGACAGCAGCCCGCTCTGCAGATAAGAGGGAGAAACAACTAGAATAAAAACCTGTCTCAGAGTTTGAAATGACTGACAACTGCCTATGGTGGATTTAAATTATACAATGCCTTGCTTTTGGTATGTACTGTATATCAGTATTCCTGACAGTTTCAGAGAAGAATCAAAAACCTTTGGTTACAAAAAATATTACTAAAATCTGACAACTTGGGATTTTAAGATAATCTTAAAGAGCAATTATTGGACTCTTGCAAATATTCTATTTAGAGCAAATGTTAAACAACAATTGACTGGAACCCCAAGAAGCAAAAGAAAGATCCTACTAGTACGATCACGCCTGTGTACTCACTACTTATTCCCTTCCCCTCGCTCTGCTACGCTACAGCTGGTAGTGTAGTGGAGGCAGAGGAGCAAATTTTTTTTATTCAAATCATGTCTCATACCATTATGACATAGCAAGTTTTAATTTATTGTTTTTAGTTACATACTACAGCTTTCAGCACCTGAAAACTACTGCAGTGTACAGACTGACTTAATACACAAAAATGCATAAATTCAATATCTTGTGTCAGTCATTTCGGAGAAATCGGAATATAATTACTATTTTGTATTACAGCAGTTATATTATGGTATACACCTCTGCTTTTAAATTATTGCATCAATACAGTGAAACTTGCCTTTTTACTCTAGGCCATTATACTCTGCAAAACTCATATCGACCCATGCTTTCTAGTGATTCATTTCAAGCGATTTCTTTTTCCTTTCTTACAAAGTCAAACTCCTCTGAATACTGAGAAATACTTTCAAGGTTTCTTAAAAATTTACTGTTCTGTATTAGATAAGGAGCTGCAGGTGGAGAAATTAAATTAAGCTGTTTAATTCTGCTGCACCAATTCAATCTCTACATAAACAATAGAAAGATTGGAGTAGCGAAAACAGCTTTTGAGTCTTCTGCACCTTGGTCCTTTTATAGAAAACATCTGCTTTTTAATAACATGCAAAATCAGTTGTACCACAGTATGATTTTGCAATTGCGACATTAAATAGTGATGATTAAAACAAATCACCACAAGGAAATAAGATGACAAAGCAATACTGATGGATACAGAGTTTACAGTGTCAACAATATTCACTGCAGGTTGGAGGCTTTCAGCTGTTAGTCATGGCAATAGAGCACAGGATGCTGACTTGCTTTGTGGAAATTAAGATTAGACAATGCAGATGACGCAGCAATGTTTCTTTTGGGTACCGACTGTACCTGCCGTTTCGCTTTCAGTTGTGAAGCTTTAGCTGGGTGGTTAAACCGCAGTATGGGTCCTCCTCCTAGCTGTATAATTGCACCTAAAGGGAACCAAATAAGTAAAGTGTGAAAAGTCAGAAGAAATTATGGTCGAAAATCAGCAGGAATCCCTCACAGCACAGACTGACAATCTTAAACATCGTAATTATAAATGCAGCTCTAAATGCTTAAATAAGCATTGCAAATATGATTTTCCTAAATTGGAGAAAATGAGTTCCATCTCTAGTGCCTGTAATGCATAGAAACAGCAGGGATCTGGCCGAGGGGAAGCTTTCCATGACTGATACAGTAACTTATTGTCGACACACCAAACTTTGAAAACTCACTTGACATTTGTTGAGTTTTTCCTGGAGTGAATTCACTGCTGGAGAAAATGAATCAGCTCTCATGAGGAACATAATCCCTCCAATGTGATTGACAGTGGCCTTGACCATGAGGATCAGTTGTCAGAGGAAATGGTCCAAGGAAGCTTCCAAGTCTTGTAAAGCTAAAGAATTTCGGTGATATATGGGTTTATATATCAGACCTGAATTCATACAACCGTATCCACAGATTTTCTCCAGGTCTTTTCTCTTCCTCCTCCACAGCAAATACTAATCCTGCAACTACTAACGACTTCTGACAAGTGACAAAGCACCAGAAAACAACCTGTGATAGATTCTACTTGCGTGGACTGAAAATTACTATCATTTGTGCAAAAAAAAGAAAAATAAGCTTCAGATGCAGCCGCTTTTGACAGGAATACTGGATAAATTGAAAACCTTACAAAAACAACAACTACTATAGACAGGCTGCACTCTGGCTGGTTCTGTGTGCAGCTTTTCTCTCTTGAAAACCAAAGCAATATGGATGAGGAGTCAGAAAGTACTTCAAGCTCCCAGCCTCAACAAACAGGGGCCGCTCAGGGGGCCAAAGTTTCAACTAGACTCTCTTCTATCCTTTGAAAGGTTAATACTCCGGCCCACTTCAAAACCTGTTGCCCCTATCAACTCCATCTGCCAATTAAATTGAGGGCTTCAAGCTTTGTCTAGAGCTTTGTCCAGGGCCCCTCGCCCTTAAAAATGTTTAGTAAGAGAAATGGCATCTGCCCTGTGAAGAGCAGCGTTCACAATCCACTCATGCCTTAAGTGCGTTTCCATGGGGAAGCCAGCAACAAAGTGGATTTCATTTGTAGATGAGATCCAGTGATGTCATTTCACCTCACTCAAAATGGATAAAAGGGTTATTGACTCCAACATGCCAAATAATTGTGAATCTAGGAGAGAAATCATTATTATAGTCATGTCTTGCACCATCCCTTCCCCATATTTATGCAAGAATATCAGGAGGAAAATTAGATTTAGCTGAAATGCTTACCCTGAGTCAGCTGACAGGGATGTGTAACCGCAGAGCCGTTAACTGAACACAGTGTGCCATCCTGAGGGAAGAGAGTTACAATCCCACCACAGTTCTCAAGCAGACAATGTTCACGGGGGAGTTCAGGTCCCGAAAGCACTAGAAGACAGTTTTGAAAGCTTTGATAACCCAGCCGCAGAAGATTCGATGTGAAGATTTAAGTGTAGGGACCTTCCCTCACCAGTTTCATGACAACATGAGGCTTCATTTTGAATCCAGGTTTTTCCCTCCTATGGAGAAGGGGGAAAAAATGAAAGCCTAAGTTTCTAAATACACATAGAAGAAAGGGTGCATTCTGTTTTTAGTGCCATAAAACTTAATATCCTTAAAAAGTAGAACAAATCCATTTTGGTTCTTTCAAATGCAGTAATTCTGAAACTTTTCTAACAAAAGCCTATGGAGTCATGCCTCAAACAGAAAGATGCTACTGCTGCTTTTTTTCCTAGGTGACCAATCTGTTATGTTGTGCATAAAGTCACTTATCAGGAAGATTTGACTTCTTACTTGTCTATACAATATACAGTTTGTTTTATGGTTATTTACATATTTTTCCACTCTAACACAAAAATTAATATGATCATCATAATCTACAAGCCTGAACTCAGTTGATATAAAAAAGAAAAATAATGCAACAATTTGAGAATACAAATCAATCCGTTTACTTTCAAATAATACAAGAGGATTCCTGTTGTGAGGGAGTCTTCTTTGAGGCCTATCAGATGAGGAAACTGGCAGTCCAAGATGACCCTATTCCCCTCCTTTCTCAGAGAAACACCTTCTTCCTGTGGGAACACACCCAAAGGAAAACAAATTCATTTAGTAGCCTTTAGCTGAATGATGCACAATAAAAATGCTGACAGACATTTAAAGGCAGCTAGCAGAAAACAGATTTTTTATGACTGCTCATGGACGCCTGAAGGCCACAAAGAATATCATGGTTCCAGCCATGTGTCACCATGAAACAGCAGAGAGGCCAACGGCAAAAGAGACAACATAAATCATTCAGATTATGGTGGTGAAAGTCAAACTGTATTTTGTGTTCAGTGAGTGAGACCGACGAATTTCCACTGACTGTTCTCACACACCATGCACCATTGCTTTTATTGGTATATTGAAGTCGACTCACTTTTAAAACTGTGGTATTTTAAGAACATGCAAACTACAGCAAACTTTAGATTCATTATTTATGCAGTGAAGACCGTCATATTGAAGGTCAAAGTGAAAATTATTTACGTTCTAGTGAGACGGAAAGCCAAATATATTTTAAATGATCCTACATTCAATTTCAATGCCAAGTCAGGCATGTTTACCTGTGTAGCATCCATCACCCAAAGTGTTTCAAATGGTTTTACTGGTATTAAAAACATAAATAAAAAATTTACAATTCAGCCTAAAAGTATTCAACTCCCACAGACAGATTTGTCTTCCAATTTCAAGAAATATTGGGTGTTTTGGAGTGGTCCAGCCAGACTCCTGACTTAAATTTGATCAAAAACAAAAATTAAATTAAATTAAAAATAAATCAGTACAAAAGGTAAAGACTAGAGTAATAGCAAAGAGGCTTTCCAATTCTGAAGACTTTGAGCTCTTCACTAAACCCCAAACTACCAATGGAAACATGCAAAACAAGTCTAATTATAGGAAAGGTTTGATTACTGGATTGTCAATGTAGCTTAATTTCCTCATTAGGCTTTAGGAAAGGCCGACTCACTGGTATTCTAGGCTTCCTTTCACAGTGCCACATAGATGTTAAGTAATCAATTTGGGTATGATAAAAGATGTCGCAATACTAGAGTTAAAGATAGAGTGAAGGCAGAATTTAAAGTACTCCAAGAATAGAGTCTTGAGGCACCCCACATGCAATATTAGCTCAACAACATTTGTAATTGTACAAATATACACAACGGAGACTGTTTCAAATTTACAAGTGTAAATAAATATTTTTTATGAAAGCTCTTTGCTATGAAAGAAATTGCAGAACATTACAACTATTAGTCATTTATTAAAAGAAAAGTTGTAATTATATTAGCTTTTCCAGATAAATCTAGTCATTTGAGTCTGCTGTGCATTCTGGAGTCTGATTTGGTACAAGAGTGCATTAGTTTAAACAAAATTTGAGACTTCAAATTTTGTTAAAAGTGAGTAGACATACCACTGAACAAATTTTACACAAAATTTATAGTGTTATTTGTTCTTTCTTGGCAAAAATGTATTCTAAAGCCTGTAAATTGAACATTAGACATTCAAAATGTTACAAATACAGGGTTTCCCCCAGTGTATTATAATCCTGTCAGGTCTCTAGGCTTAGCATTGCTCTTTTTTTTTAATGTCTGCATTTTTTAAGATTTTATAGTTGGTGTTCAGATAATCTTTCAATAACACATAATCATCTAGTGATATTTTCAAATTTCCTGTCAACTTTAAACATTTAACTCAAAAACCTGGTAGGCTGCTGAATGAGCTCACCAGGCTCAGCAAGTTTTCAAGGAAGTATTGAAATATTTGAAAGTTTTGTATCAAGGCAACTTGAAAATTTCTTAAAATAACTCACATTTGTTTGAAATCCCTTCTAAATTTGTATTTGATGGTGTGACGTTCCCTCAGACAGAAGTGATGGCATAATCTGATTTAATCCCTGAAAGTCTTTTGTAAGGAACTGGAAAGCCATACTTAAAATGTCTGATCTGCTTCTTAGACCATTTCACTCCCTTTAGCAATGGTTGCTGTGGAAATCTGATAACAAGAGTCATAAAACATATGGTTGAGAAATACATTTGTAAAAAGCAAAAGACCAAAATTGCTCCACATTGAAACATTTTTATGATTGTTAATTTGGAATTAAGACAAAATGCATAACCCAGATGTGACCTGCATGTTCAAACAATACAAACCATAAGAGAAATCTCCAACCGAGTGTTTAGGCACTGATAACCTTTACACAAAGCATAATCGAAAGTCTTGCAATGTGCTGCTACCAGAAGTATCCCTCCGTTAAGCCCTCTGTTAAAATCCATATTGATGCTTATTGCATCAATATGGATTTTAAAAAGGCACTTCAACGAGGCCTAGCAGAAAAATCTTATGATGAATATAGAAAATATACTTTGCATGAACTGATCGCCCCTGCTTTTAACCCTTCCGTCTGCTCTGTTGTATAGATTGGACTGTACAGAGAGAGACATGTGCAGCACTAGCACCTCATTCATTGGCAGTAGCGAGATGGGAGAAATCCTTTTTTCTAATGAAGAGGGAGAGGCATCGACCAGAGCCCCCTGTACTTAATTAAAAGGGATTTTTCACCGACTTCATTAGAGGTGAGGAGCAGCCTGGCAGTTTAATGCAGTATGTCACTTTCCTTTAGACCCTAGCAACAGATAATATCTACTTGTATATATTCCCAAATGCTATAAAAGTTTATTCAACATAGCAAACACAGTGTTATCAAAAACATAGGACAAAAAAATGTTTGCTTCCAGACTAAAGCAGCTGGTGAGCATACTGTAATTAAATGTGGCCTAGACCAGCAGCCAAGCTCAGAAAGTGCTTAGGCTTCCATTAAAAGCCATCATTTTGTAGTTGGCTAGAATTCTAATTAATTTCTTTTTTAACCTTTTGGAGCTGCAGCATGCATTTCAAAACAGCATTGCACAAAGCTGGCTAAATCTCCTGACTATCAACTTTGTCAAGTAGAACAATCTGCCAAGAGAACAGAATAATACAGAATTCAGAACAATTGAAACACTTTCATGCTTAAATTGCTGTGTCACATTAAAAGGTTAATTTTCCTAAACGAATTGCATTAATATCCCAGATTGCTTGTCTTTAAAGAAGTTAAACCAGCTTCTATATAAAGGGGAGAGCAATTATGTGACCAGCTTTCAAAGTGACTCGGCCTTTTGCTTGGAGTGACTGATTATATACTTCTGTTAAAGAATTGTCACCTTGTTAACAGCCATTCCTTTTTCATGCTCCTTTTCATTAGTTTGTTACATGCGAGAGCAAAATTTTAACCAGAAACCCATTTGATAGTAAAATAAACTGTCAAATTAGCCTGAAAATTCATTTCAGCCACCAGAATGCAATTAAACTTGGACTAAAATCTAGGAGTGCATTTCTGGGATTATTTTGGTTTCCCAAATCTTTCTGCTGCACAGCCAACATTATGGGCATAAATCATTTTGTGCTTGTAAATTCAGTTTAGCAAAATGCCTTTTTACAAAGCACTGAGATTTTAGCAGAGACTGCAACTCAGTTTTATACAATCTACAAGCCAATCAGTTTGCAGATTGTATAAGTTGTATCTTTAAATCTACATTTTAAAGATATAGATTTATATATTTAAATTAAGATATAAAGCTAACCTTTGCATTTTCCTTTTGAGCTACATATGGGAATTTTGACAGGCTCTAAAACAACAAAAAGCCTAATCAAAAGATTTATTTTAAGCAAGTTAAATATTTCTGTATCAACCAATTCAAGGCCTGATGCAACATTATGATTTTCAAATTAAGCTGGACAAGTTGAGGGCAGAAGAGCTGCACATGTAGATTACCCCTGTCTGATCATTTTTCAAATCCTTAATTTCCTCAATATTAGAGTTCTGTGTATGATGTTATAGTTGAATAGTATCAAATTAAATTCTAACAATAGTGTCCATAATAAAACTGTTCAATAATTTAAAGAATGACTGAAATGTGAAGTTTTGTTGAACTTTGAGGTCCAGCAAAATGATGTTTCAAGTGCTTGATATATTTTATAGGTAATCAATTATCTTTGATCCACTTAAAACAGTTGATTAAATTTTTGGCAAGACTAACCTCCCAAAAGGAGGAAACACTAGTCTTTATAAAATGTGAGAATACGCAAAGGTTATAAAATGCTATAAAGACCATGATGTAAATTTGCTGACTATGTGGTTCAAACTGACAAACCAGAGCAAGGCTTAGAGCATGTAGAGTTTAAGTTGTGCTGATTATAGCATGTTTTGAAAATGCAACGAACATCAGGATCAAAGAAAGGTTTTGGTTCATTTATCTCACAGAAATGGAGAATCCTCCCACACTGTGTCGCAAGGGGACCTGAAAGTATCGCTGGGAGAACTAGATGCAACTCCACTCAACATAAAACTGCCTTAGTGTAGGAATGTGCATCTCTATATTACAAATATATAAGCCTGCAGTGGAACATGATTTCACTTTATCCTGTTCCTTTTTTATTTTCCCAATCTGTTACTGCCTCAGACTTGTAAGCGGCTGCTCTGAAATCTCTCATATTAATTACTTTCTCTTTGCCACATGCCCTGTAACCAATCTTTGGAAGCTGGCACTGCATAACTTTGCATTCCAAATCTCCTTTGAATATAGAATCCAAAACCCAGTTTATAACACTCGGTCAACTTTTCTTGTGCAAGTGCTCAGAAATTTTCATTTTGCTTTTGCCAAAAGAATCACCTGAATTAAACGCGAAGTAGCTAGAAATGAGGATGTACATGTCATATGGAGAACATAAACTTTGCATAAGATAACATGCAGGGTAGAGTGGAATATTTTAAGACATATCAAAGGCCATCTTTGAATTGAGACAAGAGCTCCAGGTAAAGGGATATAAAAAGCCTCAAACATTTTTTTAATCACAGTACAGTCCATTTTAGCTAAGTCCAATGCTGCCAATCTTAAGCCACAGGTTGTGACCTAAAATACGTTGCACTCTAAAGAACCCTGTACTTTTGGAAGAAGGAGTCAAAGAGCATCACAGATCCTCCAACATCTCATAACCAAAATTAAGATTGGAAGCAAAATGCTTTCCCATATATTTATGCTTTTGCACCAAAGACGAGAGATCTTTTCACTGAAAAACTTGATGCAATTCTCAGACCAAAACTATTCAGATAAAAGTCCCAGTAAGGTGTGACAAACACCACATGTTTATTAAGTCACATACTCCAGACCTGCTTGCCAAGGAATGCCATGAAACAGTGGTACTTTTACTCACGGCTAACATAACGTAAAAAATATTAGCCAATGTCCACGTAACACTTAAAAGTAGTAATTTCAATAGCATGTTTTAAGCTTATATGCATCTCAGTAGAAACATTCTACATCAGAAATGCCATTTATTTTTTCCTCCTTGGCAGAATGCAAATCCACCTGAAGACAAATGTCAAATCCATAAAGTCATTCATTAAACACTTAGAGATCCTCCAACATCAGTGGGCTCACTAGTCATCAGCACAGTGGCATTTTCGCATGGATGTTAAATTGAATCATGTATAATAAAAGATGCAGATACATGAATGGATAGATTCAAATACAACATATCTGTCAAGCTCTGAGTGGAAATGGACCAGCCTTCCCTCTGAGCAAAAAGAAACCACAAGATTACGCAGAGACATTTACAGCGCTTTAATTTACAGCCAAACCAAAGTGCCATGTGTCAATATTCAAGATCTCTTAATTAGGTGCAATGACAGCAGCTAATGAGTCCAGGGCTGTCAAGCTACTAAAAGTCACTTGCTAATTATCCTATGTCCACGTGCAGACCTTGGCACAAAATATCCCCCTCACACCCCCAAATGTAATCCTAAAAGTAGCAGGACCCTAAAATCTGTTGCTGAACACTTTTCAAAGACAATTTCAACTTTAGCTTCAGGACTTTCACAATAGTTTCAAATTTGATAAAGAATTTTAAATTAAGCATGTATGGTTGAAAGGTCCCTCTACATTTTTCAGAGTTACTGGTACACTTCTGTTTGATAAATAATGCAAGACACGCCACAGCTCAATACGGCAAGCTCCAAATAGTGACATTTGGTATTAGTTCAAGAGTTGGGCACAAATTTAGCTGAACTAAGGGGATGTTCAGTGTAAACTCGGCGCTCGCAGCAATGGCTATGTTGAAACATTGGGCGGTTTCAGGATGATACCATTCTGTCTCTGCCTCAAGAGAAGACACGCAGTTTGCTTAAAATTTCCATACAAGCTTTCCAAACACACCATCTCCAACAACTGACTCAAAAAGTTGGCTTTTGGATGCCGTTTAAATCCAGATGGTTAGAAAAATCAGTCTGAATGTTCAGCTGACCCCTCTATGAGGAAGTTATTCACAAGGCTCACAGTGACACCAGCTGGCAGGAGTTGGTTACTACAAGCATCGACATTAAAGCAGAAAAGGGGATCATTTATGTATTTTAGATCCTTCCTGAACACCTGAGGGAACCAAAGTGGAGCCTTTTCCAGAACCAAAATACAAATCTTTAACTTGGCAGGACAAAATTCAAAAACATTCATCCTCGTTTTCAAAATGTTTTGGCTTTCTTTTGTTAATATCCAATTAGTCATTTTATTAATCTAGTTAGTTGTGACATAATTAATATACAATTCTATGCTTTATCTTGATTTATGGATAAATATGTTTGCCATTATGAGTTTCACCATTGTACCAGCAGTCTCCTGTAGGTCTGAGGATGGCTCAAGAATGCAGAAATCTAAAAACATTCATACATACCAATAGAGATGCTTACACAAGTAATATTTTGTGTACAGTTTGTTTAATTTTTATTTTTTTTAAAGTAATGCAATTTTTCCTCTGTGTTCTTTATTTTGGAAAATTTTATCCTGATCTTATTTTTGAATGCGTTTTCTTTGACATCTTGTTACGTTTGACTTAAAGAGACCCCCCTCCCCCTTTTTCTGTTCAAAAGTCCATCCAAATGTAATCAATACAAGGTCAAAATTGCACGTGTGTGTGTGTGTGTGTGTGTGTGTGTGTGTGCGTGTATATAAAGCAAGTAATCTTTGTACCTCCAGAATGCTCCAAGCACCCCTCCACTCAGTGTTCCACTGTTTGGCAAATGTTTTGACCTGATGGAAAAAGCAAAAATATTCTGTATGATATCAAAAAGAAATCTTGAGTGTGTCTCTGTTTGACTCGCCTTTTTTTCATTGTATTTCAACTTCCCCCTTTGCTTTACAGAAGTAGCCCAATCCACATCAGTAACCTGCATTGTTGGAGGAAACCAAATAAAATTTAAAAAAATCAGCACACTGTTGCTATTTTGGATGGCATTTTGTATTCCTGACAAATTGCAGAACCTGAGTGGCTTCAGCTAGAAGTGCTCGAAGCCTGGTGACCTCAACCTGCAGCTTTCTGACCACCTTGGTGCTGCCGTCTTCATTCACTGTTGGGGTGTTTATTATGTTTTTAGCCCGGCTGGCGAAGCGCAGAGTGGTTAGGGTCTCCTTGTAGTTCACATCAGCAGGAGAAATGGCTGCCAAGAGAGGTCACCATGCAAAAATGACAATTAGTCAGACAAATTAAAGGTGGTGAACAAAGATTACTTCATTACATTTCCAATAATATAAAAAGATAGAATGCAAATAAATACAGTGGAAATTTCTTCAAAACACATACTTGCTATAAGTGTAGTTCTGGTGTTTCCACCAAGACTGTCTTTCAGTAGCCATGTCAGCACAGAGTCTCTGTAAGGAATGAAGATCTGCTTCTTTTTTGCAGACTGTCCACTCACTGCAAGGTCAGCTACGGGTCAAATTGAAGAAAAAAAATATATGTAAAAATACAATGACCCAAAGGAAAGTTTAATCTTTTGGCTCTAGAGATCAAATTTAGGAACCAAAAGGTGTTGGCAATTAATTTTTCTATTGACCAGTCTGGTCAAAGTTTTATTCTGCTTTTTGTCCTTTCCAATAAAAATGAAATGCTTGCATCACTGCTTTTCAATAGTAACCATAACCCTAAAACCCATCTACATACAACTGATCATGCTAAAACCACAAACTTCAATGTTTTTCTCAGAAGATTGTGTGGCAAACACCATGTAGCACATACCGGTAAATAAGATAATTCTGGCATGTTTTTTTTCCACCTCTCTTCATTCCCACACCCATAAACTCAACTGCAGAGTCATCATCAAATCATCTGTAAGTAATCTTATGTCAGTAAAAATTCAGTTCCATGAAGGCCAGGCAAAAGAAAGTCATGGAGAAGTTCAGAGGGTTACATTATAAAACAGTAGAACACCAAAGAGTTTCATACATTATTGCATGCTTTGTAGTTGTAATAAAAGTGCTAAAATACTTAACTTTGTTCAGAATGAACTAACAATAATAAATTGCTAACCAGCATGAGATAAAACCAATTTATTAGTCAAGCTGAATTTACCAAGAGCTGAGATCACACTGCTCAAGGTGACCAGAGATTTGTTGATGTTTGCACTTTCCTTCAACCTGGTGCCCGTGGCCTGCGTGCCATCAGCTCTCTCACTGCCAGCCAGGTCCACCAGTTGGATCTTACTTTGCCTCTCATGGGGCAACTCACCATCAAACCATCCCTGAAAAATGAGGGTCAAAGAGCATTTCATACAGCATTGCATACACTTTAAACTGAACAAAAATATTGCTTTAGATTTTCGAAAAAAAAAAAAAAAAATGAAGATGTAGGCCTGTCGCAATAAACAATGAATCAATTAATCGCACGATAAATTAAAACTATCGACCTCATGTCAATTATCGGCTATATCGTTTCTTCCTGTCTTTTTCTCTTACTGTTGACACTGAATGAAAAAAGGCTCAACTCAAATAATAATTTTTTTAGACAATTAATCACCCAGCAAAATCAGTTATTGTGACAGGCATAAAGAGATGTAATAAGTGTTTAATAAGCAGTGATCTGGGTTGAAGTAGGACTTTAAAAACTGTTTTGAAGTGTTTCTAGAAACCACAGAAAGCCAGCAACTCAGCTTGCTTTCTGAGTTGCTTGCTCACATGTCACACCTGGGTAACGATGATGGTGAAGATTGTGTGTGAACGACTGCTGAAGTCATTCATGCTGGTTCTTGCGATGGTGCGGGTGGCATTCCCAAGCGTGATGAGGCTCTCCACATTACTCTGACTGAGCACCATATGTTTTGATAGATCTACACAGGCATTAGAAATGGAAATTCTGAATGACATTTGAAACACTTCATATAAGACTCAGATTAACAATTAAAATTGTGCATTACTCTCAACATAAGGTCCATCCGTAGGGTGTTCTCTCACTTTCAAGGCCCCATCTTCTGAGCATGGCGGCCTCTTTAGGAGGTCCTGTACACGCTCATTGTAAATCTCCAGATAACTGGTGAGGAAAAAAAAAAGTTTCACAAAAAATTTAAAAATTAGTGACTGTTGGCCTATCAATTGTGTACGACCAGTTTTTCTGAAGAGCCAAATTTAGGCATGCATACGCATAAATTTGTTTTTGTGGCAAAGACAACTAAGATTTCTTTAAGAAAGATCTCCAGCTGCCCACATGGACAAGTCACAGCAATTATCAGACCTTTTTGTTTTGTTTTTTGCAGCAGAAAGCAGGTGATGCAGTCTCCAAGTACTCGAGGCAACCAGGAGAAATGTATCCTTCTTCCCATACAAGTAAACATGCTCACAAATAAAAGGAACATTTTATTTTCCAGTTCTCCTCCGATACAATTTTGGGACTGTTTTTTGTTGTGGAAGTTTCTTATTTCATTGTGTTCATCACTCTCCATGTTGAGCCTGTATCGCACAGTTGTGAACTAGATAACCCTCCTCAGAGAAGAGGCTTTTAGGTCAGAATACGTAGTTGACTAATCTTCATTTTGTAATATTAACGCACTCAAATTTTCAGATTAATTGCTTGCGTTAGCAGCCCTGAAATAGACTATTTTTATGCAACACGTCATCTCAACCAGTTTTCTGTATTTCAGATTAATAGGTACAAGTCATGCTTTCTAATATGCCTATTCCCAGGTACACAGTGGCCTACCCTACCATTGATGGAATTAACTTTTCACAAAGTCCAGCAGATTTTTCAGCTGAATTAAGGTCAGATCATGAATTTCTCTTATTTTACTTCCCAAGACAAAGGAAATAGTGATTCTTTGTGTACAACAGAATGAATCAATGATCAGCACAAAAATATCCCACCAGATAAGTTTATATCTATTTACAAACCAGGAAAAGAAGTGATTAGCTCAAGCTACACTCAAGTTAAAGTGCAAAATTATCACCGTCTTTGCTGATTTTGCATCTTTTCACAGGCTAAATATTTAACCACCATCCAATGCAGCACAGGATGAATTAAACATTATAAAATTAGACCATTTGTATTTGAGTCCACTGCAATCATTGCAGTCTAAATGGATTCTCAACACGCAGACCCCTGGAGAGTCCTTGATCCAAACATTCTTCGAATGTTAATTGCCAAGCAGCAGTTATTCATTTCCCCTCCTTTACATCCAGTTTTAATCAGTTCATTCATATAATAGGCCTTATCCAATAAATCATGATCATATAATATTTTCTGGGCTCTTATCAAGTTCTGTCATTGCTCAGTAAAATTGCCTAGGTATCAATTTTCTGCTTCCTTCAAGATGAGGAACAATTGAGTCGTCTCTTCCTTACATACAAAATATTGAAGGATTTTAATAAATTTTGTTCCAAGAACAGGTTGCAAATCAATTCAAGTTTGTAAACTGTTCTGGTAAGAAGTTTAAAGGTCAGGTTTATTTTTGTTTTTTTATTTTTATTTTTGCAGTGAAGTTGTACATTAATTTATTTTTTAAATAGGATTTACTTCAATTTACTCAGAATTTTCTCCATTACACACAAGGTCAACATGCATACATCATATTTGGTTAAAAGTTAGTCACCTCCAGCTCTTTTGTAACAATCACAAGACTTGTGGGATAATTCCAGCTGATATTTAGCTGTTTTCATTGCCAGAAGCTCATTAAATTTGTTTTCTGCCACAGAACTTGCTTTATGGTAAACTAGATAGTTTTGAAGTGGTTTGAAATCAAATAGTTTATTTAACCTTTACAGAACAAACTGCTCTTTGTGGACATATCTGATTAAAATTTTAGGAGCAAAAATACTGAATCTCAAAGAGTCTTGTACAGACACTGTATAATTGTAGGGTAAGGAAAGAGGCATAAAAATGTGGGTTAACTCATCAATTGAAAAATAGCCTGTACTTGTTTAGCACTTTATCAAGTCCAGAGGACACCAAAGTATTTTACTCTACATTCAAATGCTGAAGGAATTGAATGTGGCTATATTGTAGCTACAGCTGCCCTGGGACAGACTGACAGAGTGATCAAAATTGTATTTCAAATTTCAGTCAAAATGATTACCATTTTACTGCAAAGTGACGACCCCATCAGACTACAATGGACCCCGTTCCTGTAAATCAATCTTTGAGGATTTACCAATTCACAGATTGTTTTTTTGGAATGTTACTCCAAATTACCCACAAAAAATTATTCAGATTTCTCCAATGAGTATATAAAATATTTTTAAAAAGTGCTTTAAAAAATATTTCATAAAGCTATAACATCAAGGTATTTTAGCTTCCTCTGTTGCCATGAGCTTGTGTTTGCAGAGAAGCAAATCAACAACCTCCACTTTTTCTCCTTACTGCTGATTGACTGTACCCCCTAACAGCAGATATGAGACTGTGGATATTAGACACTTAGATGTCATAGGCTGTCCCAGTTTCCACAGTATGTATTAATGTATATTTAGGCAACACCTGAATGAAAAGGCTAAATTAACTGTGGCATGTTAGCTAATGTTGCAAGGCCCTGGTTATTACCAATTCGCTTGATTCAGGTTTGTTGAAAGAGTGATGCATCCAAAAATTGAAAGACAGCAGCACCCAAGGACTGGACTTGCACTCAAAAAATAAATAAAAAAAGCACTGTAGTTGCATGTTGCAGGATTACATCATACAAGGAAAAACTGAAATTAAAGACAAAATAAATGATGTTCATAACTCGTGGATGTTGATGTCTCAAGACTTGGTGCATTTAACAAGAACTTCCACTGTGTAGTTTCTTACCTGACCTCCATTTGAAATGACATGCTGCTACTCCTCCTTCTGTTGGATATCTCCAGGAACAATTCTTCACAGATGCGTGGGATTAAACCTTTATCCACCTTTAATTGAGAAAATGTTGACAGAATCAAAACACCAATTTTAATCTCGCATTAAAATCAGCTACATTTTAATCCTATGACAAAGTGTTTACACTTTGCTGCAACCAAAACTCAGCACATGCAAAGACTGCTGAACACCACAATCGCCGCATCCGATAGTCATTGATGCATAAAAGCAATTTCAGTCCGAGCTGCTTGCCCTCTTGTTTTTAATTACAAAGTAACAGACAGTAGGCATTAAGAGCCATATATAATTATCTGACGTTGACAGCAACTCTACTGATGACCTTGCATGAGTCCCGTCAGCAGCGAAGTAGAATCCTCCATCATAATGCAAGACTCTCATTGTGGTGAAAGGAATTGAGGTTTTACTGCACATCACATTTTCTGATTAATGCAAAGTGAGAAGTCAGTATAATGAGGCTGCAGACTGTCAGTTTAGCAGGCAAGAGGTCAATGCATGCAAACCCAGCTGCTTTCATTGGTGTATTTAAAAATGCATTTTTCAGCCTCCTGTGTGACTAAGAATTGTAGCCATAAACTAGAGCTAAATGAATTCACATTTTTTATTGGAAGTCTGTGCCAACACAACCAGCTGTGACATCTGAAAGAACAGATGACAATTATCTTTCAGCCAACAGTGCTTTTAACTCTTCAGAGTACTTTTTTTATGAAGTACCTTGAAACATGTGAATTGGCCCTATAAAAGGATTTTAGATCAACACAAAGTAGTGCATAGTTCTGGGGTGGATGGATACTTGTACACACTTTTCATCTTTTCTTTTTTTTTTTTTTACAAATGAATTTAAAACATGTGTAATGCATTAGCCTTTAAGCTTCTTTATTGCAAATTCTCCAAACAAAATCCAGGGCAACGTATTACTTTCAAAGGTTATCCAATTGGTAAATAAAGGTCCCTTGTTTTTAATTTGATCTCTGTATAAGAATTACTGTTCTGTGAACACTTCAGGCATTGGTTAAACCACTTTAGTCATGAAAATGACTAACAGCTCAAGGATAACATTGTGGATAAATTAGGGACAGGTTATAAAACAATAACTCCACCTTAAACGAATCGGTATAAAACACTAATCAAGCCGCTACAGAAAAGGAAAATAAAAAAATGGGACAACTAGAAATCTACCAAAACTGAAAAGCTGAACAAAGAGCATTAAGCAACAAAGCTTTTATTAGTAACTCTGAACAAGCTGCACAGTTATGGTGGGATAACTGATGACTACTATCAGTCACCAACTAAATAATCTTTACGGTCAGAAGCCATTTTTTGTTTAAACAAAAGAAAAAAAAATTCCAACACTATCCAATTGTGAAACATGGTGGTGGCAACATCATGCTGTAGGAAAAAGGAAGCTGGCTTGAGTAGATTGACAGAAGAATACAGTCAAATAAAGAGAAATCCTGCAAGAAAACAAGTTGGAGGCTGCTTTTTCTGATGACACTAAAGCCAATTTATGAAAAACTTACAAAAATGACAAGATATGCAAAGATGGCAGAGACAGAAACTGATGAATTTGCAACAGTAACTGCAAAGAAAAGTGGTCACCTCTATGTTTTTACTCTCAATATAAATGAGTACAAATGCATATGTATTTAAAGAATTGAGACTGAAACTATGCATTGTTTCCTTCTGGTTCACATTAACTCATTGTTTGGTGTCGATCCAACAAAAACTTCCAATATCAAAAAAGAAAAAAAAAAGTTAAGGTTTTATTGTTACAGAATGCGAGTTAAAAAGGGACCTAGATATTTTTAGAAGGCGTTGTATTCAGCAGTAAGACATTTTTTGCTGAAACCAAATGTAGAAATTATTCTTACTTTATTTCCCATCATGGTGTAAGATTTTCCTGAGCCCGTTTGGCCATATGCAAACACACAAGCATTGTAACCGTCAAATGCTGCTTTCAAAACGTCTGAGCCCAAGTCCTTGAAAATCTGAGAGAAATGGAAAGTTTATTTTATTTAATATTTAAAAAAATAAAAATAAAAAAATGATTATTTCACATCTGTACAACGCAAAATAAGAAACTTATAAATAAAATTCACCTTTTCCTGTGATGAAAACGTGGGACTGCCTGCATCGATTGAGTCAAAGGAGTAGTCGTATGAAAACATTTTCCCTCTGTCCTTCAGTTTCTCCCCTCGCCCAGCTACAGGCTGGAATGGAAAGTGAATAGTCCACTTTAGGTGATAACTTAATTAAACCCATTCTAAACCTCGCTCGTTTTTTAATAACGTACCTTATGAACAGATGTTGTGTTCCCTCCCATGTGAATTATCACCTTCGAAGATAGAAGCTTTTCTCTGTCGAAAATAAATGAGTGATGTGACGTTCAATTTTAAAACGTTAAGATAAAAATAAAAGAAGAAATTCCATTGGACCCACCTTTTACTCAAAGGACGGACTCGGACCGCGACTCTCATCGCCGAAGAAATTATCAACCAAACAAATGCCTCTTCCTCCTTTCTTCTTTGGTAAAACGTTTGTCTTTCCTCATTAGCCACACCTGGGCTTTCTTTATTCCCCCATGTGGTCTAGAAATTAGCCACTAGAGGGTAGCAAAGCACGTCCCATTTTTTTATGTCCACCGTATAAGGCCTTTCCGAGAGAAAAAGTTTACACTTTTTAGAAGTTTTACTACACCTTACTTTTATGAAGTATTGCTACGCCTACTTCAGTACTTGCCGACCTGTTGTCCGACAAAATCAGTAACTTTACTGATTGAAAAAAAACAGGCGTTTACCCAAAAATGCACCAGAGACAGCGCCGAAAGTTTATGTTTAAGTGAGACGTCTTGTTTTTACACAAGCTTTGTTGTTTTAACGTTATTTCAACCTGCTGAGGTTCTTGTGCCATTTCGTGGTCAAGCAGATGTACAGTACAACAAATAATATATTGTCTCTTGGCAATACTTTGTACTGTTCTAACAAAGGTAGCCCACTATTAGCAAGTATTATGTTCAAAAGGTTGATGTTAGAAAAGGGTTTCTCCTGCCTGAATTTCTTTTGGTGCAATGTTCTTTTTCATAACTATTTTATTTTAGACTATAAAACACTAGAATTTGCTCATCTGTATGTTTTTTTTTTTTTTTTTTAAAATTATATACTTTCAAAATGTTTCAGAATATATTACATTCATTATTCAGTTAAATTAAATTGATGAATAAATTAAATTAATCACAACATAATATAGATTTAATGAATGCTTTTAGCATACCTAAGATTTTCCATAAAATATGTGAACAACTATTTCAAAATATCTCAAAAATTGCATTATTGCGAGGAATGCTATTTTCCCAATATTTCCGCTTAACGTGAACGCAACATTCAATGGATTTCCCATGATTCTGAGCGGTAAGAACGAACCGGGCGCGGACGTTCAAAAACAATGGCAGAACAGTGTGACACTTTACAACCAATATTGAACTCAGATGATACAGACGGTTCGACCACTGTCCACAGCGAAGACGGCAGAATAGAGCGGAGATTCTCCTTTGCCTCAGAGAGGAACAGCAGCACCACCGAAGAACCCAAAACGACATGTAGACGACTTAGCTTACAGAGTGTGTCCGACGATTCAAATTTATACCGACTCTCGTCGGAAGTAGTCGAAGAACGCCGAACAGACCCGATCAAACTAAGTTTAGAGTCAAATAATGGCACTGATGTTAAAGGTGTGCCTCTGGACGAGCACAGTGTGCCCAATGCAGAAGAAAAGGAAAACTCTTCTGAGCTTTCAGATATGATTCAAGGTACGTCTTTAAACTCCAAGTCTATTCTGAATTCTGTTAATTTTAGAAGTTTCTTTAGTTGCCAGTTATGTACAGGGTGATTCAGTACTTAGGGAAGTAAATAACTAAATAGTGCTAAGCACTGCAGGCCTATTTGTTCCTTGAAAGAAACAGAAATTATTTTATGTCAATTGGTTGATCAAACAATTCTAAAATATTTTTTTCTTCACATCCCTTCTATGGTTTCTACACTGCTTATTATACAGTATTTTTATGGTGAAGCTGCACAATATGTTGAATTGCAGTATAATTTCTTTGCAATATCAGAGGCTGGCATTTTGATATTTAATTTGCATGCAAATTCTTCAGGCCAGTAATATAAATACCCTGTTAAATTCCCTTTATTGTCCTTGGAACCCAACCTTATTGTATATTTTTAAGTCTGTAAATATTATAGGCAAGTTGAGGTTTCTCTGGAGCCATTTTATGAGCTTAAATTATCATCACATACAGTAGGGACTATTGGAATGTCATTCTCCATTGTCTTTCCCATTTTGAAGAGTGGTAACCACTAAAGTACCTTTGTGCTGTGATATTTATAAGAACTCACAGAAACTCATTAATATTTTGAGGCAGAGTCACTTAAAATGTAGAAGTTACAAAAAATAATTTCCTTATTTCACTGTAAGGATGGATATTCTGGTTCTGTTCAGATAAAACGTCCTTGGAAACAGAAGAGACTTCTGGGCCAGATGTCAGAAAGGACACAAACACTGAGGAACAAGACGCTGAGGTGTTGAGAAAAGCTCAGGAAGAAGGCCGCGTGGACGTGGTCTTCCCCGGCGCCGTGACCCAGGACGGCTGCTACCGTTTCATCAGCGAGATCCTGAAGTGCATCCTCTATCAGAGACAGCAGCTGCCCATGACGTATGACCAGCTGGTTTACTCCCAGAAAAAGCTGCAAACGTCAAAGCAGGTTTGAAGGAAGCTGTCTTGGAGCCGTTTTCCTGTCAAAGTATTGTTGATTTTAAAGAAACTCACTTTGCTTTTCAGGACAGAGGCGCAGTGACTCGAAGGTCATTGCATTCTGCAGATCTGGATCTGCGCAAATGTCACCAGACTCTTCAGGAGCTGGAGGAACTTCTGCAGCAGCTGGAGGTGCTGTTTTCTTTGAGTAGAGTACCCAGAGTTTTACTGTTGATGGGCGGCTCACTCATTCTACCTAAAGAAATGTATGAGGTCAACATGGAGACCCTGGCCCTGGCTGCCAGGGATCAGTCTCTCAGAGCCTCCTCCTGCTTGAGGCAGCTCTTCCGCACTCTCTTCGTTGCCGACCTGTTGTCCGACAACAATCCTGTTCGCCTGATGCCCACCACAGTCCTGGCGCTGGCTCACAGGGAGTGTGGCGTCGGTTGGTTCCGACCTAAACTACAGTTTAAAGTCCCGACTCGAGTGAAAAATAAAATTATTACTCTGTCTACGGAGGGGCATGGAGCCGAGGGAGCAGACTGGCAGGATTATGTGTGGTTTCAGGCACCCACGGCTATTAAGGGCTTCACCAACTGACCCAGTTCATTTGCCAAATTTAAAATTTTACATTTTTTAAAGTTTTGTGTTTTAGAACATATGAATTTAAATGTTTTGATTTGCTCAAATGTGTAAAGGGATCTTTTTAAAGTCTTTAATTCAGTTATTATTTCATCAAGAGACATTATTGCAGTTGAGAACATCTGAATTATATATATTTATAAAGCATTTTCTTTCATACGCATGAAGCACAATGACACACTCTTTCATCAGTGCAATATACTTTTACTGAACATAACTTGAAAGGTCTATTGCTTTCTTTACATTCTAACAGAAATCTGAACGTGCAAATATGTTTACATGTAGTGAACCATTAGCAATTTTAATTATAACAGCAAAATGTTGCATGGAAGAAAAAAACATTTTCTGTATTTGTGGAGCTTACTATGTTGATTGTAATAAAAACCATAGAACTGTTTTAGTCAGAATACATTGAGTGGTTCAGAGATTTTCTACTGCTTTGGCAAACTGGATGACGTCGTTGGCCAGGAGCCGGGGCTCCTCGAAGGCGGGGAAGTGTCCGCCTCGGGGCATGAAGGTGTAGGAGACGATGTTCTGGTACCGGATCTGTGCCCAGGATTTGGGGCAGTGCAGGATCTCTTGGGGGAAAGCAGCCAGTCCAGTGGGCACAAATATCCCCGTCCTAAAACATGTGATTATTACACTTATTAGAGAAAATTCTGTTCACATTTGGATAATGGCGAAAAAAGAAAAGAAAAAAAAAACTCGTACCTAGCATCAATCCTGTTATTAATGTTGCTGCTCAAGTTCTCTTTGTAGAACCGCATGGAGGAGATGATTGAGCCTGTGGTCCAGTAGATCATGACATTTGTCAAAAGATCTTCCAGGCTGAATTTTCTGTTCAAAACACAAAGTCTGATTAGCTAGATACTGAGATGATGCATGGGATTAAAAATCTGAAACGTGAAACACACTTGCAATTAGTTCTATCGAATTAAATATTCTGTAAAACCACCTCCATAATGACACTTTTGTTTGAAAATAGCTCAAGCTCAGGCAGATTGGATTTGAAAGCATCTCTGCACAGAAAGTTTACCACAGATTCTCAGATGCCTTTACTTCTGGGCTTTGACTAGGCATTTTAATCCATGAAATGGTTTAAAATACATGTATAATCAGCCTGCTTGATAATACTTATTATATATTTGTGTTGGTCTATGATAAAAACTGTTTGAATTTATGATTCTAACATGGCAAACGTTTGTGGGGTATGAATATTGTTGCCAGACATTGCAAATGCACAAAAATTTTAATAAAATCAGAAAATAAATCCCAGGTGTGATTCTCTTAAGATTTTGAAACTGTTCTGATTGAAGTTGGTTTAAGTGCCAAAATAGAACCAATTACCCTTTGCTATGACATCAATAAAAGCTAATTTGCTGAAGAATTAGCTTTAGTAAAACTCAACTCATTACATGTTTAGCTATCAGCAGTCCATAATTTTATTACAGTAGTTGGGAATGTCAGTAATTTTTTTAGTAAACTTGAAGGAAAATAGAGTCAAGGAAGGAGTGCCATTCAAAACAAAACACATTTCGCTGTTTTACCTCTCCAGCCCACCGTCCTCCAGATCTTTGTTCTTCTTGTGAGTCCAGGTGGAAAACTTTTCCAGAATGTAAGCCGCCAAGGCTACAGGCGAGTCATTCAGTCCACATCCTGGCCAAGCATCCCATTGTAATAAGATGTAATGGAAAAAACTATTTAAACAGCAGGCTGCACTCTCCAGGAGCTTTAACCTGTCTTTATAGTATCAAGCTAGATATTTTTGTATGTTCTCACCAGCTGTGTCAGGTTTAGTTGCCTGAATGTGGAGGTAGCCAGATTCCTCCAGTATCTCCCACACATTCTTCTGAAAGAAAGGGAACAACCTGCGAACGTCTTCCTGGCTAAAGCCGACCAGGAAGGGAAGGTAAGGCCCGATGATTATGGAGAGAAACACTTTGAAACCCCTATTCGACATGTAGCTGTTTAGGTGGAGCCCTTTAACACAGCTGGAACAGAAAAAACAAATATAAGTTAGTGTCACCTCAAGATAACCACGCCTATTGTCCCAATGTCCTGGAAAAATCTATGTGTACTGGACAAGCTTCATTTCACAGCCAAATTACACAATGTCTGTTGTGAAAATTCCACAAAAATGATGATGTGCTTTTTCTGATAGGCTGTTTTTCACTTACTCGGGCCTCATCTGAGCCATGTTAGTGGTGATGAGGGAGCCCCAGTCTCCTCCTTGTAGGTAGAACTGGGAGAAGCCCAGGCGCTCCATTAGTGTGAGGAAAATCCGGGCAGCAGCCAGACTGTTAAATCCTTTAACAAGTACAACACAAAATTATTCAATGTTTTAAGGTTTTCACATTTTTTTCATGTTAGACCTATAAACTTTGTTTGCTTTTGTTAGTTTTTTTCAAAATATGCAAAAACGCTGTGAGAAGAAAAGCATTATGCTGCGAGGAGAGGAGACAGGCAAGCTTATTCAAGTTGATAGCAGATGGCTGGAACTAAATACAAGGGAATATTGGAACAAAACCTGTTACAGCTGCTCAAACGTTTCTTCTTTAATTTATTATAAACTAAAGAGAAAACTTCTGTCAAGTACATAAGACAAGAAGAATCCAAAGACAGCAAATAAACCATATAAAGGAAGATAAGGCTAGCTACAACTCCAAAACAAAGGTAGAATCCAAAAACGAGAAACAGGTCATACTAAAAATAAAGTTAGGTACAAAACTAATAGGATTATTTCCCCAAACATCACCATTTCCACCCTCTCAAGTAACCGAAAACCCCAGCACCTCAGTTTCAACCACGACATATGACATACAAAAATACACCCAGGCCTTACAACTATCCTCTGTCCTAAGAAATGGCTGAGGCTCAGTTTGCAGGAATCCCCTTCGATTCAGGTCATGACTATCAGAAGAGAAGGAATATTTAGATTACACAATTTAATGTGTGGTGGAAAATTACTACAGTATCTGCTGATCATGTTATATGAAGTGTTGTGAACTCTCACCAAAAGAACTATTTGGGTTACATGTAGAAGGTTGGAATTTGCTTTCTACAGCTGCATCAGAAACAGAGTGTCGTGTTTTGAATTCCTTATCCTTGGTATACAACTCATGTGTTGTTTCTGCCTGGCAGAGCTTTTCACCCAGATATTTCTTACCCAGTAATTTTACTCTTAAACGCCATCTTAATTTTCTACAATTGAAACTTGGGAAGGATGAAATAGCATGAATTAAATATCTAATAGAGACTGGAATTCACAATCTTAATGTTGTCCCACAAGTTTTTATAAAGGATTTTAGTTGTGTTACACCTAACATATTGCAGACAGTAAATACTTCCTTACATCCATCTTCACTTCACAGATCCAGAGGTAATCTTCAGAAATTCAGAAATGATGGAAATCCTCACCTTATCTCTAAGAGTCCAACCATGCTACGGTTGGCAGTACTAACCAAATGTAGTTTGGCAGTCTGGATAAAATAGGCCACTGAAAAACTGGGGCATGCTTTATGTTTATTAGTCTATATTACTCAAATTGGCTTTGCAGCTCGTCAAAAAACACTGGTACCAGATACCAGACAAACACCAGTACAACATATCTCCTTACTTCTGAAGTAGTAAGGAGATAAGTCCCACTTCATTCAACTCGTTCCTGAGTTGCTCGTCAGAAATGCTGAAATCCCTGATCTTACCAGAAACCAGCAAACTCAAGGGACCAGAGCTAGAGATCCTAAATTTTGTTTCTATGATCCTCTGCACTGGAACAAACTCCCTTAAAATCTGAAATGCGCAGAAGCTACTGGTAAAGCAGGACTTTTCTGTTAAGTTCCACTTTAGCCTGTTATTCCTACATCTCTATTTATTTGTTCCAAATTACCATTTGCAGTTCATTTGTATAGAATGTATTTTTGTGATAGATTTTTTTTATGCTTTTTCTAAAGTAATTGAATTGGCCTGTGCATGAATGGTGGAACACACATAAACTTGCTTTTCCTAAAATGATCTACCTTTCTTATGAGGGGCTTCTGAGAAGCCGTAGCCAGGGATGGAGGGGATTACAACCTCAAACGCAAATCCGTCGTGGTTCTGTGTGAGAAGTGGAAGAATCTTGTAGAACTCATAGAAGGAACCAGGCCAGCCGTGAACAAGCATGAGCGGCAGAGCCCTCTGGTCGCCCGTCTGTAGTGGGCGCACATGGATGAAGTGCACGTCCAGTCCTGCACCGCAACAAAAGACATAAAACAGATTTTACAAGATAGAAAGTTAAGCCAGCTGCTGTTCATTATGCAGCGGTGCGTACCTTCTATTTTGGTTTTGAAATGCGGATACTTGTTCAGCATTGCCACTTGCTTCTTCCAGTCAAACGTATTTCTCCAATAAGAAACCACCTTCTTAAGATAAGTGGAATTGAAGCCATACTGGAAGCCAATGTCCTCTAAAGGGTCAGTGAAGCGGGTTTTGTCAATGCGGTCATGGAGATCCTGGTAAACAAAATCCTAACTGAGCATTGTACATAAAACAATGCCTTGCAAAAGTGTTCTCACCCATGAACTTTCTCAGTTTATCTCCACATTTACTCTGATTTGGTGGAAGAATTGTGAGGAAGGAAAGTGTTACACGTTTTCTAAAAGTTGGTGTGAGCCAAACTACCTCAATCTCTTCATCTGACGTTTCCACTGAAAAGGGGTATATTTTTTGATCCTCCAAGAGTGGTTTTTCTCCTGCTCCCCACCATCCCTCACCAACAGGGATAGTTCTCACTTTGCTGCTTCTCTGCATTACATAGGTCAGGAGTCCAGCTGCTGCCACAGCACAGCCAATGAGAAGCTGCTGCTGTGAAACATCCAGCCCAAAGAACGTGTCCCTGCAAAGTTTGAGAGAAAAATGGCTGAAATGCAGGTAAAAGTAACTTATACTTGGTTAATTTTGAGGTTAAAGTGCTCACTTCAAAAGTTGCAGTCTCTGCATTGTGCAGTTTAAAATGTGAACCCTCGCTCGGCCTGCTTTACGCTAATGGGATAAAGGTCGAAAAAGTTTCATTTCCAGCAAAACAGCTTTAAAAGTTTAGACCTCCGCGTGTGACAAACCTTGTTTATTGCCTTTGTCCCCCTCCTGATGAGATGGTGTTTACGGTTCTAACGCCAGAAAGACGAAACAAATCTTGGGAGACTATCCGTTCATCCAAACGCGGTTAAATCTCGACGAGCTCCAGGAAGGACAGGAGAAAACACAAGGCTAGTTGGTCCTTCAGAGATTGTTTATTGATAGCGAGGTGCGTCACTCCCCCACTAATCTGTGAGCAGCATCGTCATTTCTTGCTTTATAAAGAGCAGACCGCTTTACACAATCAAACACCGTCCAATTTTTTTCTCCCTCCGTGTAAGCAGTTCAACCTTAAAGGAGAAAGATGTGGAAGTCTGTTGTTCCAATTTTTGCGGCTATTTTCGCCGTTGGGCTGTGCGGCACGCCTGGGGGATGGCAAGACGTCGACACCCAACAAGAGGATTTCGTGAATGCGCTGAATTACGCCGTCGCCCAACACAACAGAGACAACCAAGGTGATACATCCCTCCACAAGGTGGTTGAAATCGTCTCCGCACAGTTTCAGGTGAGTATTTTTTTTTTAAACAAAACTTTCTGCATGGACTTTGCACGTTCTCACCTAACCGTCAGGTAAATTGGTCCCTCTAAATTCTCCCAGGTGTGAGCGCATGTTTTGTTGTTTGTCCCGTCTGTCTCTGTGTCGCACCAAATTTAACTTTAGATTTAAGCATTTTGATGACGTCTTGTCGTTACACTCCATGTAAAAAAACTTTTCCGACAATAAAAAGTGCACAATGGTTTACGTCATGCTAGAATTAAATGGAAATGGGAATTTAGAACTGGCAATTTCTTGGTGAAATGAATTGTCGCTTTAGTATTTAGCTTTTCAAGTACATTATGTATGTGCGCTGTATGACTGCAACCATATATGATATGTTCTTAATAAACTGGATCAGTATGATCCCTCTTCTTCTCCATAATAGGTGGTCGCAGGAGCTAACTACAAGATCGTTGTGAAATTGGGACGGACAAACTGCCGGAAAGGCGAACCAACCACCGACTGTACTGTCTATGTGCACCCAACTAAGGCTCGGGTAATTATATTACATTATTAAAAAGATGTTGTAAAATTTATGGGTGAAAATGTTAATTATATTCCCATTTTCCTCTCAGACATGACAAATACAATGAAGTACTATATATAACAACTGTGACATGATATTATGTTAAAAAATAGTACTCTTTGCAGCTCATGTTTATCTGCATAAATTATTATATGGCGGTATGCTACTATAATTGTATTCTGGTCTTTCTTTTTCAGATTTACCAGTGCACATTCAAAGTGTGGAGCTGCCCATGGCTCAATAACATTCAGGTCACGGAAAAGAAGTGCTTGGAACCTCAGCTTAACTAACCGTGAAAGAAATGCTACTTTTAACAGTGTAAACATCTTTCCATCCTCTATGTGATGAAGTCCACTGTTTTCACAACTACGAAAGATGTAATGCAACATAAAGTTGATAAGTTACCAGAATAAAATTGTGTAATGACTTGGTTAAAAAAAATACAAATTAAAGAAATAAAGTAAATTTGACATATCAAAATCTGTCCTTGTGATTATTAATCATTTTTGTTTGTCTTCCTCTGTGAGGTGAGCAAATAGAACATATTTTTGGTTGATGTTTCATTATTATACTGCGTGAAGCAAGTTGTGGTAATTGGTCCAGCTAGGTGTGGTATTTGATATTTTGAAGTGTGGATGCTTGTTGGAGCACTGTTGCCTTGCAACAAGAAGGTTCTGCATTCAAATCCTAGTCTGGAATCTTTCCACACAGAGTTTTCATTTTCCAAGTGAACAGATGTCTCTTGGGCAATACTGCCTTAATCATAAGTTTAAAGTAAAACTGCATGGTGTTCAATATGTTAATGATAATAATTGCGACATGATTTCAGGCCCCATAGTCATTCTTTGTGGAACAATCTTTCACTGCAATTACATCTGTAAGTCATTAGGTGGCATGCTTCTACTAAATTTCCTTTTAATTCAAGTCTTTGTGTTTGAGACTCTATCAATGAATATTCTTTGATTTAAATGAGTCCATATAGCTACGGTTGACTGCTCAAATCAGGGTATTTGTCCTGCTATAAATTTAAACCTGACCCGGTTGCAAGTCTTGTGAAGCCTGTAGTTCTGATGAATACTGTCTTCAAGACTACAGACATGCCTTGAAGAAATAAAACTGGATCAAAGCAACAGTATTGCCAGGCCCAATGTAACTTGAATAAAGGGAACTAAAATGGAGACTGTAAACATAATAGCAACAATGATCCAGGTATATGCAGGACAATAGAGACTTCTCTCTGGGTACTTCCAGTTCTCAAAAACATGTCAGATGACTGCAAAGTCCAGACTGTTTGTTTGTCCTTAGGGACTTTTGACCAGTGGAGATAAGCTCTGGCCTTAATGCTTGACAGCTGATAGATTATCGATTGGATGTTAAAATATAAATAGTCCCATCACTTCTGCTTTCAAAGAGCAGGCAGAAAACATCCAAACTTCTTGTTCAGAGCCTTTAGGCAATTTCTCCTACGGAATAATGATGCAGAAGGTTATTGTTCCTTTTTTTGCCGCTCTTTTGGCCTTTGGCTTTTGCCAAATGATGGCTGGAGGCTTACAGAAGATAAAAAATGCCGATAACGATGAGGGGTTCCAGAGAGCATTGCAGTTTGCTGTTGTCCAACACAACAACGGGACCAATAACACGGTCCTCTACCAGGTCCTCAAGGTGGTCTCGGCTGAGCGACAGGTCGGTACAGTTATACAGATTTAAATGTTAGCATCAAATGCGGATACTTGACAAGGTTCGGGGCCAGATGTCACATATTAAAATATTTAATTTTAACTAGTTAATAATGTTTGTGTGAATAACAAAGATAAAAAATATTTTAACATTGTTTTTTATCTGTCTTTGATGTTTCACTTCTAATAAGAGTTTTTTCATTGTGTCACAATAAGCTGGATTTTCTTTGTCTTGGCTACCTCTTCTAAAGGTGGTAGCTGGGACCAACTACGTAATAACTGTGATTATGGGGAGAACCAATTGTGAGAAGGAGGCACCAGCAGATAACTGTGCTGTCCACAAAATGCCTGGATTCGCTAAGGTAAATACACAAGATAATAAAAACTTGACTTAGGTATTTAAGAAAAAGAATCTCACACATATCAACTCTGTTATACTAACACTGTCTAATGTTGAATTGTAGACACTGCTTTAAACTACTGATAAGTAATGTTTGTCTGGATAAATGAACATGTATTCTCAGTTTTATTGATATATTTTGTGGGTTTTCATTTTCAGCCTTACCAATGCAAATTCAATGTGTGGAGTCGCCCATGGCTTAATGATACCCAGCTGACCAAAGAGGAATGCGGTGATATTCAACCTGATATTGAACCTGCTTCACAATGAAAAACATTTTTCTTTTGAAGATCTATGAAGTGATACTGTCTTAACACCTTCTTTCTACTTTCAAACTTAATAAATTTTTTCTGCAAAGCAAAATAAAAGTCTCACTGTGATAGTATCCATTAGGACACAAAGTACGCAGCTTTAAATAAAGCAACTTTTAAACTTTCCTGAATATGTTTGTGTTTCTGTTGTGGAAAAAACTATTTTACCAAGCACTGTCAGGTGAAATCACTCCATCAGGTTTATTCATATATTGTGCACAATACAGAGGGCTTATAGGACAATCAATTATGATGCGTATCTGGGTGAAAAGCTCTGCCAGGCAGAGACAACACATGAGTTGTATACCAAGGATAAGGAATTCAAAACAAGAGACAGTCTGGTTCTGATGCAGCTGTAGAAAACAACTCCCAGCCTTGTACATGTCACCCAAATAGTTCTTCTGGTGAGAGTTCAAAAGCATTTAATATAACATGATCAGGAGATGTTAAATTGTAGTTTCTGATATTTATTTGAAACATTACACTAAACTTTCTAATATTTTTAACATCCAGAAAACATTTTATGCATTTGTTGTTTTATAACCAGATGGTTCCATTTCTTTGTTGACAGGAAGTCCAAAAATGCAGTTAAAATATATTGTTTTTCTCAAAACCCAGCTTTTTCCAACTGATTTAAAAGGGGGAATGTTTAGAATTTAAATTCTCATTCTCATGTAACCCTTTACAATCAAACTTCATCATACATCAGAAATCTAATTGTTTCTACACTTTGCTCTCACAGTGCAGGGTTATGAGTAGTTCACTTCTTAGACTTACTAAAAGTAAAATGGGAGGCAAATTGTTTACTTATCAAGCTCCTCACTTGTCAAACCAGCTCCCATTATTACTGTCATTAACTTTGTGTTCCTTTTTTTTTTTCTTGGGTTGGTGTTTCGAATTTGGTTTATTTACTTTCATCCTACAAATTTTACAATTCGTTCCACTAAAGAAGGTAGTACCTATTTACTTTTAACTTCACATTGAAAGTACTCCTAGAACAATGTTTCTGTGTTTTTTGCAGTCCTTAACCAGAAAGGTGAGAGATGTGAACATCCATAAAGGCAACAAAAACAGAGACATTAAGTTAAGTTATACATTAAGACATTAAGTTAAGTATGTTAATCGACTGCAAAGTCCAGACCACCTGTTAGTCCTGTGAGTGTGTGCATTTTTACTTGTCTCAGAAATGGACCGTTGACTGCTGGAGATAAACTCCAGCCCCCCAGCTCAACAGCTAATTGATTGTTGATTGGATGATTCATTCTTCTGTTAATGTACAAATGGTTGTACAACTTTTTTAAAAGAGCAGGCAGAAAGCACCAAAGGTTTACTTCTTGTTCTGAGGTTTTAGGCAGTTCATGAGAGGGTTATCAATGCAGCATTGTACAAGTTTAGTTAATAAAAGAATATAAAACTAACTGGTTGCAGTGTCTTGCAATAGTTTTCATATTGCTGGTCAGTTTCACATTTGTGGCTAACTTCAATTGATCATCAGTATTTTATGTTGTAGAACAACATGGATAATTCTCCCCCTCTTTACTCTGCTATCCCCTGAATAAAATTATATTTCCAAAATGTCAAAACATAACTTGTGAAATAAAATTAATCCTACACATCCTCCTCTCCGTTTTGCCTCCATTTAGGGCCATTTTGCACTAGGGTCTGCTCAGGATAGCCTGACTGCATTTGGCCCGCCACCATCGTACCTCACCGATATTGGTTGTGTTTGAGCAGAGCGCCATTTTAAAAATAAGCAGGGGTTGTCAAATCAAAAACTATTAAAAGTAGTTGAATAGATGTAGAATGAAAAGGGCAAAAAAAGTTGGAGAGCCTGTAGGGTAAAATAGATTGAATAAAAACCATTTCTCCAAGTTAATGTCTCAGGCATGTCATCAACATACAACATATATAGACCATGTTATTGTTATTGTGCTTGCATAATCAGGTGATCAAATGCACTCTTGTGTACTTTTTAATTCACTGTCCATATATTTCTGATTATCCATGAAATTTTTCTGTAAGTGTGTCATCAAGTTCTGATTGAATTACACAAATATTTGAGGATAATGAAACAGTTTAGACCTTTGTTTCATTTGCACTAACCAAAAATCAATATTGACTCCTCAGGAGGTCACCAGCAAACCAATGACACAACAACATGAGAGGTCCTTTGGTTATTTAACATTTTTGAGGAAGAAATATAGCTGTATGTCCAATAAGGTTCCTGAGAAGGTAGTGTAGTAGATTCTAATTCATCTCACTTTAGGAATAAAACAAATATGTAAAACTTCATCATCATGTGATACTAATCCTTGTAAAGAAGTAAACAAATAAAATCAGAATTAACAACACTGGAGTAAATTCTCAGCCGGGTTGAAGAACAACGAGGCTTTGTGTCCTACGCTTCTGCTGGTTAGGACTGGTTAGGACTGGGAGAAACTGGACAAGCCAGAGTGATGAAATGAGAGTGTAACAGAGAAGAAGCTCGGGGAAAAATGATGATAAGGCTGTTTGGAACTGCAAAATTAAACAAAAGAACTTTAACGGGAATACACAAGCTGCCAGTGGAGGAAAGTCAGGAAAGTGAATGGGTGATTATGAGATAGAGTGAATCACAACAGTTGCATACAGTTAATAAGCAATATTTTTCTTTCATTTCATCTTGCTCTCTTGTAAAATAGTAACAAAAAAACAATAAATACAAAATTATTTAGAATAGCGTTAGGCTCTGGTTGGACTTTATTTTGCACACACCAACTGGAGGTGATAATAAAGATTGACTTTTTCAATATACTAGAATTTTTCACTTCCTCCACTGAACAACATAGATCTTTCCATTGTACACCAGGAAAATAATCAGCAAGATAAAATGAAATAGCTTTATTTGAATAAAAAAGACAGTTTAATTCAATTGAATAACTGCCACGGCAGTGAGTATTTTAGGTTAAAATTACAAAGTTGTGCACCTCCTGATTAATAGGAAATGAAAGCCAAACGTTTTTCAGTATGAATTATTATTTTAGGAATACCTGCCTGATGAGGTTAGATATGAATTAAAAACAGATGAAGTTCAAAACTGAACTAGTTTGACATGTTTACCAATCAGAACACTGTGATTAAGATGCCTACATAACATAAGAGTATTGTGGTTAATCTGTATATTGTTCTGTTATTTTAACTCGTGTAATGAGATTTTTTTTTCCTTCACTTTGCTTTTAAAGTTTCAGAGAATTAAAATATTCTGTTTTAATAGGTTGTTGCATATTTTCCATGACTGACGTTACCTTTGTGCTCAAGGTAGTATTTCTTTAATTCAGCTGTCCACTTTTGGAAATTACCAGAATTTTACAAAAATCAATTAAATGACAACTTGCTAGAGGAAAAAGTAAAACAGAGATAAGTAGTCACTGCTCAGATTGATCTTTGACTTTGAAATAAACTTCTCTGACACCAGAACACATGTGATAAACCCATGGACAGCGACTGGTACAAGAATTAATACCTTTACATTTTTTCCTCCCTTTGTTTTCCTGTTACAAAGCTCGGGGTATTTTACAATGACTTTTGATGATTGATCAAAACAAAATGGTGCAGAAGTGGAAATAAAATAAATAATTTTCAGATTTTCAAACTTTAAAATCTGGAAAGTGTGTTGTGCATTTTTAAGTCAATACATTATAGAAACACTTCCTGCTGTCTTATTTTTCTCCACTGTTTTATAGACATTTTATTTTAAATGAGGACCTATCAGCAGTTATTTGCACATGAAACATCTCTATTGGCATTAAAATGCTGACCAGCATTTTGCATGTCTCCACTTGTATTTTAACAGTTTAGTGTTTAGTCAGTTCCAGGTCTGACAGGATGGAATGTCTCCCTGCCATCACCCTAATGCTGATCTCCATTTTAAATCATCTATTTAATTTGATATTCTGGATATGCTACTTTGAATACTTAAAATTACTTCAAATCAACAAACAAAAAAATACTTTAAACATTGATCAGCCAAGGTAAGACAAATTTGGTCATACCTATATGGCATCTTGGTTCAGAAACCGAACCAAAATGCTTCAGTTTCTGATTTATTACAGCTGATATTCCAAGAGCAACAGCAGTTTTAAGTGAAAGAACGCTTGATGTAAAAACCTCAAAGATAATTTAATTGTGCAGTTCTGAGTCAAAAAGTATTTTACAATTAATGAGACAAGGCAGGGAAATCCAGGTTGCATAATAATGAGGCGCGCCCTGAGTCACACACCTTTAGAAACGTTTTGTTTGGTTTCGTTTTTGTTTTTGTTTTGTTTTTTGCAAGAGAGAACTTGAAATGAAAGCAATCACCATAAATTCATTCCAGAGGTCTGTGGAATTATTTTATCATTTTTCTGCAATCCAGCATACATAGAGTTATAGGATGCCCTCTACCTAATAAAAGATTTTATTCAGTTTGTAATTATGTCTCTCACTCCACAATGTTGGGTAGCTGAACAACCTCAAACTTCAAATATTGCTGTTTCATCAACTTGCTTTAAAACCTTTGCTTTTTCGCTGTTTACTTTGAAGTTGTGCAAATTAAGTGAAGATCTAACCTTTACCTTTTCCAAAAAAAAATTTTCTATTTGTGTGACCCAGTTTGGTGTTTAAACTTGATAAACCTCTTACAGGAAACAAGTTGGTAAATAATCACAGTTACATACATATTGCATCAAAAAGTGTGCAGGAATTGTGCAGCAAAGGAAAGAGATTGTAAGGTGCATGTGATTACCTGACCATGTGATCACCTCAAAAGTAAACAACTCCATGTGGACAAGATACTGTGTGTTAGTCCATGGCAAAAGATGGCAGCATCACTGTTTACTGTGTCTTTTAAAGCTCTTTTCTACCTCTTACATGCAGTGTTTTAAGTGGACAGATAATTCTTTCTTACAAGAAAATTCAGAAAATTCGCCATGTCAGTCTTTTCATAGATGGACATTCCAGAAGATTAGTAGTGAGGCCAGAAAATGAAATGCTTTTCAGCCTCTAAAGGGCAACGTTTGTCTGTGAAATGTTCTTGTTATTAAATGTGCAATTTAATAAATTACACATTTGAAATGATTAAACCAGCAATAAAGTGAGAAATTCTGAG